TGTTTGAAACAATTTAGAATTCTCTATATAATTGTGCAGAAATCCTATCTAAAATGTTGGTATCATTCCAACAAAATCCCCTACCAACTAATACTTCAAAAATTAATTTCAAATTGTTTCCGTGCTATTAAGAGTTACAAACATTAACTCTAAGGTCATCGAGAGGAGAAAATCTCAATGACTTCAATAAATAAAAGGTAAACCAATCGAGATAAACTTATTCGTTAAAAGAATCAAAATTTAAATTTCTTAAAAGAAATATGAAAGTGGAATACATCCCTGGAAATGTAAGTATCGGGATTTAAACAAACTATTTACTTATTATGAGAACTATTTAACACAAACCATTGAGCCAAAATGACGAAGAGATATTCTCGTATCGGCACCCAACTAATGTCGCAGGTTCGAGGAGTATCATATGAGAGGACTAAGCTGAGGTGACAAACCAAACCAAGGCTGACAAAGCTGACTTCATGGTTCTAATATAGCAAAAGCTTCACAGTGGCAACCAACTTTTACACGATCGAGTGTTGTTTTCCACACGAAAATGGATTGGTAAAATAACTAAATCATCTTGTGGCAACGAACTTTTAAACGATCGAGTGTTGTTTTCAACACGAGAATGGATTGGTAAAATAACTAAATCATCTTGTAACAACCCAACCACTGTATGAAGTTCTTAATTTTGATCTCGAAATACAGGGTAAGAATATTTTTTATTAATAAAAGTGACTAATGTATTTATAAATAATATTAAAATTTTAAGATCATATTAAAAAATAAAGAATTAACGGTTAAAAAGTTTATAGGTGTTAGAGTGAGATAAATTACAAAATTTAGAGATATTTTTATTAATTGAATAAAAATAAAATAAAATAAATAAGAAATAAACAGCTTTGATCATTGAGCGGCGGCACAATTTCGTCAAAAGCTTGAGTGTAGTAGCATCGAAATGATAATGGCTATCGGTAGCATGCGATTAGCATCATTAGATAAACCAGAATGGTTAAATCGAAAAGGATCTAGGAATTCTTTCAACGGTTTACATATATCATTAGTTGGGTAGGTTTAGGTTAAATGAACAAATTCATTTCTGGTACGACCTAAAACCATCGTGACCTCGTGGTCTATTCTTCTACTATGTTCAAGAGGTGTATCACTTTCATACAAATAATTTTATGTGCACCACTCTCGTACATACAAAACCTGCCAAGCTCATATTACTTTCGTAATCCCACACCACTCTCGAGAGTGAGAGTGGTATCAACTTCATGCACCAATTAGTTTAGTTCCATGAGATAAATAGGCTATGTTTTCTATTTATACAAATGACGACGTCCATCGCCATTCATATCCAATTAAATTAAATAAATTTAAAACAGGATATACAATTCTCTTACAAAAAAATTTAAAAAATATATAAAACAAAATCTATACAAAATTTAAATCGAATATAAGGGTGTAATTATTCTTAATTTTTTATTTGTTTGATTTCAGTTATATTAAAAAAAACTAACCCAAAATTAAAATATTTATTATACTCCAAAATTAATGATTAAAATCAAATATATTATTATTATTTTTTTTTTCTTTTCAAATACTAAATTAGAATCCACCCCAATTTCAAATTAACGATTATATGTCACCAATCAAAATAATATACACCAAATTTTAAAATAAATTATCTTTTATATCTTATTTATATTAATTAATTTATAAATTTTGATCCTTTCAAATATTTTAAAAAAAATATCAATTTTTTATTCATTGAATTAATCTTTAAAATATAATGTACGGGTCTTCATAGTCTATTATATTAAATAAACTTAACATAATTTATTTCGAATACGTCTCTCTTAAATTAAAAAAATTATACTTTCTAATATTTCTAACCCTAATTTTGATACCCTAATTTAAGATATCAACTCATATCAACTATATTATTTAAAGTTCAAATTAGTTACAAACAAGTATCATATTAAATAAACGTTAATAGCTCCAATATTTGGATTTAAGTGTCAACCTTTCAAATCCTTTAGATATCAAAAAAAAAAAAAAAAAAAAAATTATATTTTCATAAAAATATATTAAATAAATTAAAAAAATAAAATATATTTGATCCCTTTCCAAATATTGGGTTGAAATGTAATTTGGTTACGTGAACAGCTAAGGAAATCAAAATATAAATGTGAGATTTGTATCCTTTGTTAAGCTCCCACCTTTAATAGACAAAAACAAGCTTCCATAAATCTCGACTCAGTCAGCGTTTCTTCTTCAATTTCCTCTCACACCACTCTTAGCTCCGGGAAGGTTTTGGAGTAGGTCCGATGGGAAAGCGAAAAGCAGCGGACGGTGACGGCGACTGTGATGGCAATGATCGTAAGAACAGATTCAAATGCGGCTTCTGCGGGAGCGAGTTCAGATCGGAGAAGGCGCTGCATGGTCACATGAGGTCTCATCCTGAGCGGAATTGGAGGGGAATGAATCCGCCAGTTTCCGCCGCCGCCGCCGCTGCTATTGCTGCTACCGAAAGCTTCTCGTCCTCCTCCTCTTCTGGCGGCGTTGATCATGAGGTTCCCGATCGGGATTGCTATAGTCCGTTATTAACCTGGTCTACCACCGCCTGTAGAGGACGGAGGCCTATTGGCTCCAGCAGCTCTGCTTCTTCTGGTGTTGTTGATGCCATTGACACTGGGAAAGAGAACACGGACGCGCTTTTGAGGAACGAATATCCGTGCGATTTCTGCGGCAAAGCGTTTGGGTCTCCACAGGCATTGGGAGGCCACAAGTCTAGCTGCCCCTGCAAACCTAGAAAAAATGGAACACAAGAAGCTAAGCTACTCGGCTTTGATCTCAACGAGCTGCCTCCAGAGGATGGTGAAGCATGAGGTATTCGATCAGGAACTAATAGCTCAAAAACTGAAACCCTTAGCTGTGTTGTTTGCATTTTTTTGTGTTCATTCGTTGCTGTTTGTTTAGTCTATTAATTCATTGATTGATATATGTCTCTGATCTAAATGCATAATGTTAGCATTTTATGATAATATATATAGCTAGATCAGAACTAAATTTTGAGTTGTGTAACGACTCTAAAATCTTGACTTTGTATCCGATACTTACTAGAGTATTTGACATTCTCGAATCATATCATAGACAAAAGTTCTGAACAAGATAATCCATTTGAAACTCTAGGTGGTTTTAAAATTACAAAGAAAGTTAGCAGAGAAAATTAACATATTAGGTAGAAAGAGAGGGAGATTATACAATTCATATAAAAAAATTTGATTATTAATTTTGAATTTTATTATTGTTGGTGTCTCTCAAACTAGCTAGTGGGACTAAGTCGGAGAATCATAGAGATTTGGAGCTCAAAAATGAGATAAAGGAGGTCTGAAGCCTGTTATAGTTGACCTGTAACAGCTCAAACTCACCGCTAGCCGATATTGTCTATTTTGGCCGGTTATGAATCGTCGTTAACCTCACGGTTTTAAGACATGTCTGCTAGGGAAAGGTTTCCACACCCTTATAAGGAAATGCTCAATTTCCCTCTTCAACCCTTATAAGACTCGTTTTAAAAACCTTAAAGAGGACAATATCTGTTAGCGTTGAATTTGGACTATTACACGACCCATAGTCAATCCACATTTGTGATGGCTAAGACTCGATCGGGAAGACCATGCATGGCCATGAAAGGTCAAGCTGTAGCAGGTTTCTCAACTGAGACAGCAGAAATTCACGTAACCAGGCAAGTGGCGATCTTCCACCTGACGAGGCACAATAGTTGAGGTATAGAGCTGTAAGGTATGTCTGATAGGATGAAAAGTTATAGAAGATGATGAGTTATTCTCTTCCTTTCCTCAAATGCCTTACCCCTAATGAAGCTCAATCTGTCATGTGATAACTCTATGAGGGAATGTGTGGCCATCATTCTGGAGGCCGATCTTTGGTCTAAAGGTACTATGACTATGACAATGGTACTATTGGCCCACTATGTTGAAGGATGCAATAAGTTTGAAACCCCTGTGACCAATTTTCTCTAAGCCTATGGAACGATATCGTGCGTTTCGAACAATCAAACTATGTTTTCACTGTTATTTGGAGTCTGAGACGGTCATCTATGGTTGAACAGTTAAAATGTGAACATCGAGAAACAACAGATCTTCATGTGCTAAATACAAAAACTAAGTAGCTCGATGTTATAATTCAAAGTATGTGTGCGGCGTTTCAAAGAGGGGAGCTTGGTTCTTAGACAGATTATATGCTAAACATAAGGAATCAAGTCATGATCAGGCTAAGAACCTATGAATTGGCAAACTTGGACAGAAAGAGCATGCCTTGTCTAATGTTATCATTAATGAATCGTTCGTAGTCTCATGTATATTCTTCTATATAATACCCGAGTAATTTGTTTTATCTGCGAAGTTCAATCAAGTTAGTGTGAGTGAAAACAAACCATCAGAAGATACAAAAGTTACCATTATAACAAAGATATGAACACGATACAAAAGACAACGAACAAAAGAGCAGAACTAAAGAAACACAAACAAGATGATGATCATGACTCAAAGACGGAGTCATTAAGGACCTCTCTAGAGACGTTCTCTAAGGAATCACAGAAATAGTTCAAACCAATCCAAACAATTCAATCTTTTCAGATTCAACACCTGATGGATAAATATTTACATCATTTTGTTTTCCAGAAGTAGAGAGTTCTCAAACTAAAGGAGTCTTGTTAGTGACAGTGGCACAACATTTTCAAGAAAGAACAAGAGAGTTTAACCATTTTCCAGACCAGTTGCTCCCAAAGTAAAACAAAAATCTACCAAACGTATCAGTGCACAGTATCATACCTTCAAAATCTTACAATAGTATTAAACTGCTAGTATGCCTGCAATTTCTTGAATTCATCACAATATCGTCCCAATGAACTCGACCCGTGCAATAATATCAATACCGTATAGTTCATTCATTAAAACTTACAAGTAGTTTATAGAAATATATAGTCTCAAGGAATGAATGCATGTGATTCATCGAGAGGTTCCAATCTGTTTAGATACTGTACTGATTGTCTATCAAAAATCATGACTACAACAACAGTCACAAGAGAAAGAAATAAAAAAAGAAACCCATTAAACAACTTACAACTGAGATTCCTACATGCCCCTGCCCTTCCCCTCTCTCTCTTTTTCTTTTTGTGTTCTTTTATCTAAGCAAAATGATGAAAACTGTTCAGTTTGAACATTGTTCAATCCACAAAATATGTTGGTACATCTAGGCTTAATTATGTTGGTACATCTAATCCAGCAGGTGAAGGCATTTGCAAGACAAAAAGCCAAAAAACGAGGAACAAGAGTATCAACTGCACAAATGCACAAGAACTAACCTTGAATACTTCCCAACGTGTCGTCAAAACCTCCTTGGTTTCCGATACATCATCACATGCTTGTTTCTTAAGCACTGTAGCTTTGCTTTCAGCTTCTCTAGGTCTCTTCATCATCTCTACTTGTTCGTCAGCAAAAACTTGTTTTTCACCATCAATTATTGTTTCACATTGTAACTTCTCAATTGCTCTTGTTATTGCCAAATATTCAATTTCTGCTTCAATTCTTTGCCTAAAAAACCTCTCGAACTCCTCTTCTGTTTCTCTAACTTCCTCTTTGTGTGACTTGCTGGTGCTGATGGAGGATTCCAGTTCAGCTACTCGGGATTCCTTCGATTTGAGTATTGCCATTGTCTCTTCTAATTCGGTTTCCAATAATTTTACCTTTCCTGTCAAGCCTAGAACTGTGACTTCAAAAGAACTTGAAGCAGCCTTTCCTGTGCCCATTTGGAAAGATGAACTAGTTTTATGTGTTTCTAGGTTGTTGTCATACACAAAACTTGAAGGTTCAGCATCATTGAATATGCTTGAAGATCGTATCTCGTCCTTCCCAATCTCCCCTAGTTTTTTGATTTCTGGAAAGTATAGTATAGCATTATTAGAACTCAACTCAAAATACCAAATAAGCTGACAGGGTATGCATTCAGCAAGAAACAACCAGATCAGATGGATAAGAACTAAGGTGAAACTGTAACAAATGAGACAAAATTTTGTTAGATTAATAGAATTTAGCATTCAAAAACGTAACGTCCTATCGAAAGCGAAATCACGAGCTAATCAAGCAGTCTGACAGTTCATTGAGCCAATTTTAAGTCATTACTTCATTCTCAGTTCATTAAGGCTCAAAGAAGTTCATAATAACACCTAACAATCCCATTTAAAAAGGGTATAGAAACCTTTTTCAAGGGCATGTTGGGCAGACTGGAGGCTGAGAATAGACTCCTCCATGGGATCCTTATTCAATGGTGACCAGTGATTCCTATCCTTTTCTTCCTTAACATCAAATGACAAGTTCGTAGTTAAATTATCTTGAGTAACATCTTCAGCTTCGACCTCGTCCTCTTTCCTATACGCAGTTTCGACTTCTTTGCTAAACTGTTGATCACCTGCATAAGCTCCATCACTGTTGTCTCCATCATCTGTAACAGATCTTTCATTTTGGTTTCCATTACTAGCACTAGCACCAGCAACATTGCCCTGCCGAAAGACAAAGCACGAGCTCCTCGAGTCGGACTCGATGCTAGACTGAGAATTCTCCTTCTCAACTTTGATTCTTTCTCCTCCTCTTGCCTTTTTACTGCCTTCAACACGTCCCTTTCCCTGATTACCCTTTTGACCAGAACCGCCTGTACTTTTCCCATTCATACTCTTTATCCTGTTTTTTTCCCTCACATGTCCTAACACAGCATTCAAATCGTACCTCGCCTTCGGAGCACTGGCTGCTGTCGACGATTTACTGCTCCGATCTTCGCTGTTTTCAGAATCCGTGCCATGATTAAAAGCAGACCCCATAGCAAACCTGGAATTAGAACTAGAACCATGGAGAGCCAATCCATCGACATTTCCGATATTCCTCAACGGGGTTATAGATCCAACAGAACCTTCATTATTTTGCTTAGTTTCGGTCGGAGAAAGTTGAGGTTTAATCGGATTCCCGGAAGTAGATAGCGCACGCTTCAGAATTTTACTAGTATCTTCACTTGAATTCATATCCTTTATAAAATCTCTAGGAATACGCTTCCATTTCTTCAATCCATAACCTTTTCTTAGTGGAGAAGGAATATTGGGAGGCGAATTCGCAGCTATTCCACTTAAATCCTTCCCCTTAGCAGCAGCAGAAACCGATCCCATGGCATCAAAAGCATTTCCAGCAGCACAAGAGTGGTTAGCATCATTAGCACAAGTGCCATTAGTTCTGATTCGGCTAACATCATCAAAATGAATAGCATCCTGGTTCACTTCATTGTCTTCCACCGATTCGCTTTCAAAATCCATAAAAACAAAACCAGGGAGATCTCCAAAAACCCCCCACAGTGCTCGGAAATGTCAGTCAGATCAAGACAACAAGAATCCCTCCGCCGCAGCCGCACTAAATCTTAAGAACAAAACAAAAGAATCAAAAACAAATAAAACCCAGATGCCAGAAAAGAAAAGGGAAATGGATAGTGGGTCGATGGGGGAATTCAATAAGAGGAAGAAAGTACGAGGAAAGGAAACGTACCTTCAAATCCCCCACCTCTATCCAAAAGCAGAAGATATTGAAGAGGGGATTGGAAAGAGAGAGGGGTGAAGAATTAAGGGCAAATGGAAACCCTAAATCATGGAGGAAATGGGAGGAAACAAAATCATGGTGAAGAAGAACAGAGACAATCAAGAAGAGAATAAAAGAAAAAAAAGAGAGAACGGGTTGGCAAGAAAACGAGATAGAACGTGGAGGAGAGTGATTGGGGCCACATGGCGGACAGCGGCGGCTCAATCACACACAGTACACACCCACCGTCAGATCCTTCTCCATTTATTAAAAAAAATATAAATATATTTTTAAAACCTTTAATATTTTAATTTTTTTTTAATTTATTAAAGGAGAATTGGTATATTTTAATTAATTTTTTTACTATTTTAAATTTTGGTACGTCAGCTTTTTTTTAATAATTGAAAATTAATATGTTATAAAATATTTTTAATCAATATGGTTGAACTAAAAATGGTGCAAAATAATAAGTTTCTTTTTTTAAAATAAAAGCTATTATTTGGTAAAAAAATTTCAAATTACTTCAAAAATATAATAAAATTGAGCCTGAGCGTTAAAGTGGTCTCCCATTGTTTGGACGAAATTGTACATGGCGTGAATAAACCTATTATGTGTTGTGATTCTCGAGGCACCATAAATTAATATATGTTATAAAGTAGAAGTGAAATATTAAAATTATAACAAAGTATTGTATGCATCACCCTACCTAACAATAATTATTTATGCGGATCTGACCATGTTGTGCATAAGTTGAACATGAACAGCCTAGAGTTAATGAAAACTAGATGTTCTCTTAGTGGGTCCACGTGCATGTGTGGGTCGTGTGTAGAGAAATACTATGCATTTAAACTCACTAAAAATATGACTTACTGATTAAAACTGAAAACGTAACGGTATGCATTTTGCATTTTTCAATTACAATGGTGGGATAACTTAACGAATATTTTGAAATACACATTTTATATTTATTTATAAAAAAAAAAAAAAAAAAAAACTCCAAATTTGAAAATATGGTGCATGAGAATATTCTTAAAAATATGTATAATTACCAAGAGGGACAGGAAATTTGATTGGGCCGTGTCATTATAGCTGCTTTGGCCTATTTGTTAATTCCAATATCCAAAATATTCCAATTTTCATTTAAATATTAATATTAATATTTTATTTATTTATTTATTTATTTATGAAGATTCCTGTCTCTAAAATTAATTCAAAATAATAGACAACAAAATTAGGTGGACACGACACAACTTAAATAATTTCAAGAAAAGGGTCTGAAAGTTTGCTTTTTGCAGTTTCGGCCTTTTTTTGGAGGGTTTTCAATGTTCTAATTTACAAACCAACCCTTCATTTTCCATTAAATTATTCATTTGGCATGCCAATATTTATTTAAGTAAATACATTTGAATTGTCAAACTTATTTTAAAAAAAGAATTGTACTTATTCAATTATTACAAACCCCTCGAACAAAGCACGCTTCCCCTTAATCGAGGCTTGTTTGACATTCTGAAACACGACTCTCCACAATGATATGATATTGTCTACTTTGAGCCTAAGCTCTCATGGCTTTGCTTTGAGCTTCCCCAAAAGGTCTCATATCAATGGAGCTAGTATTCCTCACTTATAAACCCATGATCATTCCCTAAATTAGCCGATGTAGAACTTTATCATCCAACAAGTTGATTTTTAAAATTTTAAATTAACCGAATCAACAAGAAATTGAAGCTGATTAGAGTCAACTCAATCTAATCTAGTTTTAAGGAAACTCATGAACTAATCTAATCCAACCGAGATAAGTTTGTAATTCGATTCAAACCATAAGAATGGAATTGAGTTGATCTGAATTTTTAGGGTCATTAGATTTTTTAAAAATTTATATCCTAAATATTTAACCTAAATTTCAGACAAAATAATCTTTAAAATAGGTAACAAGTTGATGGATTAAATACACATGCACACAAAATAAAAATGTAACGTAATTGAGTGACTTAAAGTCGTTGAAAACACGAACATCTAACATGTAACCTGTATTAGAAACATAATCATTTAGGTCATGACCCTAATTGGATAGTACACACTAATCATCTAACATGTCGAAAACAAAACTTATCATGTAGCCTGAAATTAGGAACCAAAACATATAATTTTAGTCTACGACAAAGGTGGTATAATTAACTCATTCACGGACGAGTAATTGCTATCATTCCATGTCACAAATATCATATCTTGCATAAAACGAGAGATTCATAAATCAGGATTCTAATTTGATCATCCTCTGCTTGTAGGGATCTAAGGCACCGCCCTGAAGCGTCACGGACGAACCTAATTGTCTTGCAATTACGCGAACTTGCTCAATAAGCCACGACCGATAATTAGTCAGACTAGTCTGACTCCTTCCTTTGGGGACTATCCTTACAAACCTAAAATAAGTAAAAAATAATAAATAAAATAAAATAAGTTATTATTATTATTTTAATGAGAGAAATATGGAGCAATTCTATCCCTGCCCCTCTCATGTGCAGCTTACAGTGTAGTACTGCATAGTTCAGCAGATATACATTTCTAAAATGCGGGGCCCCTCATAAAAAATAAAATAAAATGATTTAAATAGTACAACCACAATATTATAAACTATGAATTATAAATATTACATCATTATAAATACACGACAAATTAAAATAAGAGTAAAGTTTGAACGTGGCATTAAGACGGTTCATATGACATCATAATTAACCTAATTTAAATCAAGAAAGTTGGATTAAATAGTTTTGAAAATCGAAAAATTTGAATCGGTTTGTGAGTTAAATTTTTTTTATTGGATAAACTCGATCGTCCAAAAATCAGGTTATAATCCGAATATTAATCTTATTTTCTTGCCATTTTCTACTTATTAAGATTAATTTAAATGGTAATTCTTTTTTCATTTATTATGGTGGGTCCCAACATTAAATGAATATCAAATAAAAGATTGTAGTGTACATTTCTTCCACAAGTAAATCAGTCCGAAGTTGGATCATCATCAAGACCATGCGGAGATTAACGGGGGAGAGTGTCACAATCTAAGGAGTGGTTGTGGCTTAAGTTAGTGATTGAGGACGATTAAGAAGGAGAGAGAATCACAATCTAACTAAGAAGAGAATAAGGTGTGACCATCACGTTGGTGGAGTAGATATGATATTGTAATAATATATTCAAATAGGTTTAAAAATCTGTATTTAATTAGTGGAAGAGGGAAAAAAAGAAAAGGTTGCTATCAAACAATCTCTTACTGAGCATCTGGTTCAGTTGGACTGGTCTTGTGGGTACAATTACCACAGCAGATTGTTTGAAATTTTGTCAGCTCAATCTTAGCCCAAATGAAATTCATGATTCAAATTAGTTTCCCTTCATCTTCAACAGCTGATCTGCTGAGTCTTGTTCAAGCTTTGAATATGGAAAGTTTGATCCAAAACCCACTTCCAGAGCCATTGCCGCATCCATGGTTCCACTCCCAATGCCCCCTTTTTTTTCTCTGTTTTCTGACCAATCTTCGGTCTCTGTGATCCATTTCTTTGACCCTTCCTCCTTTTCCCTTGCAAATACACGTAAAACAAAACCCTATTGCTCCATTTCGAGACGGGGTTTTCTTTATTTTATTGTCCCCATCTATGCCTCTCAACAAATCCTAAACTATTCCCACTCCCCACCTCTGTTTTTTTTATTCAAATGTACCTCAGATCCAACTTGTTCAACTTGTTTTGCATACAACGATAGAGGTGGGTTTCTTGTTCTTCTTCGTTTTTTTTTTCCCTTGATGTATCAATGAACCAGTGGCGTTCTGTAACTCGTAGCTGGGTTTTTGTTTTTCGTGGGTTTTGATCAAGAAATGTGATTAATGATTCCTGAAATCGAAAACCCATCTTCTGTTTTCGTGTTTTTGGTTTGATTTTGAATTGTGGGTTTGGTTTCTTGCTTCCTGTCCTGTCATGGCTGTTGAACAGAGGAAGGCTCTGTTTCTTACTGTTGCATTCAACTTGAGCTGAGACCAGAGTGAATGAATTGAAGGTTTCTGGAGTTGGATCTGTTTTTAAAGCTATGGATTCTGATGGGGTTGATTCAGAATCTGCTCCGGCGAGATCCACCGGTCTCACCATTAAAATTGCTCCAAGTTCTGCAACTAAGCCGCCGGGAACTTCCCCGTCCGATTTGGCATTGCCGGACCTTAAAACCTCAATCGAGTCCTCACCTTATAACTCGCCTTCCCTTTTATCGCCACCGTCGTCGGCGTTTGTTTCGGCTCTGCAGTCGCCGTACATTTCGCCGAGGGCAGTTATCCCAAAGCCGGAAGCGAATCCGATACCGACGGATATCACGACGGCGCTGACTTGTTCCTCGCCGCCGATTTCGCATTCTGAGGATATTCCTAGTAGTTCCTACACGCCTCCGTCTGACCAATATGAATATTCCGATAACCCTTCTACTGATTCCAAGCTGCAATTTGTTGCATGCGTTCCTGTCCCAGACTCTGCTCCGCCGCGCATTTCGTTCTCCTTCCCTGTCCCTCGGATCTCCTTCGCCAAATGCGGCGGCCCCCTCTCCCCTGTTTCCACCTCTAAACTCAGAAGCTGTGATGTCTACATTGGCTTCCATGGCCAAGCTAATGGCCTAATACGCTTCTGTAAATGGCTCAAATCAGAACTTGAGCTTCAAGGGATTGCCTGCTTCATCGCCGATCGGTCCAAGTACTCCGATAATCAAAGCCACGAGATCGCCGACCGGGTTATCAGCTCTGTGACATTCGGAATCGTTGTCCTCACCAACTCCAAATTCCATAACCCTTTCACCTTGGAGGAGGTGAGATTCTTTGCACAGAAGAAGAACTTGATTCCATTGTTTTTCGATATGGAGTCGTCGGAGATCTCGAGCTTTCTCAGCTACAATTCCATGGATAAAGAGTTCAAAGAGACAGGGCAGGGATTGATGAAGTTCCATGAATACAAATTGGAGGCCAATGAAGGTAACTGGAGAAGCTGCATAGCTAAAGCAGCAGGGATTTTGAGAGCAAAACTTGGTAGGATGAGTACTGAAAGTGATGTTGAAAGATTTGAGGAGCTTCCATTTCCAAGAAACAGAAACTTTGTGGGGAGGGAGAAGGAGATTATGGAAATGGAAACCGCTCTGTTCGGTGGTCGAAGCTATCATAAGCAAGACGGTGCGGTGTCTACGCCGATCGTCGAAGGCAATGGCAGCCAGCAATCCGAAGGCCTAGCAGATGAAGAAAGTGAGCCAGTCACTGTGAGGGGAAGTAGATTTATTAACTTGGAGATAGGAAGGTCTGATAATCCAACTTTGGAGACATGGGTTGAACCAGCTAAAGGAAGAAATTCATTCAAAAGATCAAAGCATAAGGAAATGGTAAAAACTGGGAATCACAAGAGCACTAGCAGCAGCATAATGTGCATCAATGGTGTCCCTGGAATTGGAAAGACAGAGCTAGCTCTGGAATTCGCTTATAGATACTCTCAACGGTACAAGATGGTTTTATGGGTCGGTGGCGAAGCTCGTTACTTTCGACAAAACATATTGAATCTATCTTTGAACTTAGGATTAGACATAAGTGCTGATGCTGAAAAAGATCGAGGACGATTTCGGAGTTTCGAGGAGCAAGAACTCGAGGCATTCAAACGAGTCAAGAGGGAGCTATTTGGAGACATGCCATACTTGTTGATCATTGATAATCTTGAGGCAGAGGAGGATTGGTGGGAAGGGAAAGATTTGAACGATTTGTTGCCGAGGAACACCGGGGGATCTCATGTGATCATCACGACGAGACTCTCGAAAGTGACGAGTTTTCGGATGATAAACATTCATCCATTGCCTTTGGCTGATGCTATGGTTTTGATGAGAGGAAGAAGGAAGAAAGAATACCCTTCTGAGGAATTGGAGTATCTCAGGAAGTTTGATGAGAAGCTTGGGAGGTTGACATACGGTCTTTGGGTGATTGGATCACTGCTTGGTGAGCTTGCTATCACCCCGTCTTCTCTTTTCGAAGCTATCGAGCAAATCCCGGTCGATGAATCGTCTCCGTGCTCGTACATAAGTATAAACGAAGAGCATTACTGCAAAAACAATCCTTTCCTGATGAAGATCATTTACTTTTCCTTTTCAATCTTGGACCAAACTAATGGACCTCTTGCATCAGGAATATTACTGGTTGGCGCTTGGTTCGCCCCAGCGCCTGTTTCGATATCGGTACTAGCCACAGCAGCAAAGGACATGGCTTTGTCAAGAAAAGGATTGAAAAAGTGGAGCAAATGCCTGAGTTTCATGTTTGGTTGTTGCTCCTCTTGTTTAGCTTCACAAGCTTGGAAAAGTGAGGAAGAATCTGCTCTTCTTCTAATCAAGTTCGGACTCGCCCGAAAAGCGAACAAGCAACCGGGTTGTTGGATCCAATTCCATCCCATAACTCAAGTGTTTGCAAAAAGAAAGGAAGGTTTATCAGCTGCCAAGTCCATAGTTCAAGGGATCAGGAAATCTAGCAGTAACACAATGGCTAACTTGGATCATTTATGGGCTTCTGCATTTCTCGTCTTCGGTTTCAAATCCGAACCTCCGTTCGTACAACTAAAGGCTGTTGATATGGTCCTATACATAAAAAAAACAGCCCTCCCTTTGGCAATTCTGGCGTTCACGACGTTTTCGAGGTGCAACTCGGCTCTAGAGTTGCTGAAGGTATGCACAAATGCACTTGAGGAAGTAGAGAAGTCATTTGTATCTCAAATACAAGACTGGTGTGAAGGGTCATTATGTTGGAAAAAGAAGTTCCAAGGCGGGTACCAACGGGTCGATGAATACGTGTGGCAAGACGTGACATTGCTGAAAGCTACACTGCTCGAAACACGAGCAAAGCTACTGCTTAGAGGTGGACACTTCGACAGCGCCGAAGAGCTATGTAGAACTTGCATAAGTATAAGAACAGTCATGTTGGGACATAACCATGCCCAAACCTTGGCAGCTCAAGAAACGTTAGCGAAAATCGTTCGACTTCGAAGCAAGATCTGATGTAGTTAATAATCCAAATACTTGGTAAACTAGTTTTGACAGTTCAGTAACCAAGTGTTGTATGTAAAATCAGATTTGTGGGTCATAAATTTAGTGTTTTTATGTCATTTTAGCTGAATTTGACACAAGAAATGGGATGAACAGAGACAGATTACTGCTTAAATTACAGTTGATGATGAACAAAATGACAACATTAAAGAACAAATGGGAGGCCATGAGAAAGATGGGATAAGGCTTTTGATGAATAAGACATTCATTTACTAAAGGCTGAATGCTTATCTTAATACTTGGTTCACAACTCACCTGCCCAAAACACACACACCAGAAAAAGGCTAATCTAAATTCATTCTCTAATAGCCACTTGCTCCAACATACAAATTATTAGTATAATATTGTCTATAACATTAACCCTTTTTCGTTGGACATCAACCATTCAATCATCGTACGGTAACAGTCTAAGTCCACTACTAGCATTTGTAACCACTCAAGTTCATCACTAGCAAATATTATCTGCTTTGATCCGTTACGTATCGTCGTCAGTTTCACGGTTTTAAAACGCATTTGTTAGTAAGAGGTTTCCATATCCTTACAAGAAATGCTCCGTTTCCCTCTCCAACCAATATTTGATCTCACAATCCACCTCCCTTAGGGACCCAATGTCCTTGTTGACACATCGCTCGATGTCTGTCTCTAGTACCATTTATAACAGTCCAAGCCCACCACTAACAAATATTGTCCGCTTTGGACCGTTACGTATGGCCGTCAGTCTCATGGTTTTAAAACATGTCTGCTAGTAAGAGTTTCCACACCCTTATCCTCTCCAACCGATGTTGGATCTCACAATCCACCACCTTTGAGGCCCCAACGTCATCACTGACACATTGTTTGGTGTCTGTCTTTGATACCATTTGTAACAACCTAAGTCCACTACTAGCAAAATTATCCGCTTTGACCCATTAAGTATCATCGTCAGTTTCACAGTTTTGAAACATGTTTGCTAGTGAGAAGTTTCCACACCTTTATATGGAAGGTTTCGTTCCTCGACAATGAATAACTATTCTTTTCCTTCTAACTGATACCAAACTTCATTTACTTTGGTACTGATAACTGGTGGCATCAGAGGGGCCGTTTTACTAATTTTGATGTAAATTTCGCCATAGAAAGGTAGTCAGTAAAATGAATTGTTTGAGAGCCCCTGGAGTGGTCAATTGTTTAATCTTGCAAGCTTTTGAAGATCAGAGTAAGCCAAATGTGAAGTGGAAGCAAGGGGTCCAATTGCAAGCACTCAAGAGAGAGAGAGAGAGTTTTGGGAGGTGTCTAGATTTCACCATGAAAAGTATGTATTTATTAATCATACACATGTAAAGATTCATATATATATACTCTCACCCACCAAGCATTGGTTTCAAAAGCATATTAATGATATCAAAAGAAGAGTTAAAGGTAAGGTTAAGCTTTTAAGTTTAGTATTAGCAGAGTTCGATCTGATGCTATTTCCTTTTCAGCCAGCTGTGGTTGGATTTCAGGTTATAGTTTTGAAGCCCACCAAACCAAAAAGTTCAATCTTTTCAACTTAGTGATTGTATAGCTGGATTAACCAAAACCCATCTTATAAAAAGTTGGAAGCACTTAGGAACACCAACCATCAACCATGGCTTTAATGATGGTTTTGCTAAAGACAAAAGGGTTTGTTTTTATGAGATCTTACGTCGATTGGAGAAGAGGACGAAACATTCCTTATAAGAGTTTGGAAACTTCTCCCTAGTAGACGTGTTTTAAAAATTTTGAGGGAAAACTCAAGAAGAACAATATCTATTAGCGGTGGGCTTGAGTTGTTACAAATAGTATCAGAGTCAGACATGGAGCGGTGTGTCAAAAGGATGCTGAGTCCTAAAGGGGTGGAACCAGACAATGTGCTAGCGAGGATGCTGAACCCTGAAGAGAGGTGAACACCGAATGGTGTGCCAACGAGAAAGCTAGGCCTCGAAGGAGTGGATTGTGAGATCTCAAGTCAATTGGAGAGAGGAACGAGTGTTAGTGAGAATGCTGGGCTGCAAAGGGGTGGATTGTGAGATCCCATATCGATTGAAGAAGAAAAGAAACATTATTTATAAGAGTATAGAAACATTACTCTAATAGATGCGTTTTAGAATCCGGGAAAGTCCAAGCTACTATCAGTAGTATTTGGACAAACTGAGAAAAAAAGCAGTCTCACCAGCAATGATGAGAGAGAAAGAGGAATGAGGGAGCTTTAGATCCAAAAGTGAAAAGGAATAGCCCTTCATTTCCATTCCTGTCTGCAAATATTCCCAACATCCGTATCACTTCTCTTCTTTAAAGTGCCTCTCTCTCTCTCCTAAATGGCCCAGCTGCCACCTTTGCATGCGAGAACCTGCCTATCTCTCTTCTTAAAACCCCCAACAAAAATCTGTCCTATGTTCTAATTTATGTTCTAATTTAGGGACGGATCCTTACGAAGCTTTCTAGAGAAGTCCAAAGCAAAGTCATGAGAGTTTATACTCAAAGTTTGACAATGTCATATGATCGTGGAGATTAATGATTTCTAATTCCAATCTTCTCTGCCAATAATAATTCGACTTGTATGATCAAAGTGTTATCTTGACAGACAGAGAGAGATTCCATTAAACAACAAAAAACTGATGTGATCTTATCAAGTTTTTGGCTGTTCTGTTCCTTTCACTAACCTTCATATTCAATACAGTAATGGTACTTAATCTAATGCAGCTTCATTATGTTGTTTGTTTCCTATCATGTTTGTATTGAATCTGTGAAACCTTTTAAGACTAGCAGCAAAATAAACGATGGTCATAAACTCATACCTATGAAGTTATTTACTTACAACTGAACAGGAAAAACGCTTCACCTTTCGGGAGAGCTCGGTTTCATTATGTTTCGGTCAAAGGTTCGAGACGATTATTCTTCAAAAACCACTTGAACAATATATATTATCAGACCTCTCCATAGCTTTAGAACTGAACTCCATTGTATGTATCTTCTTCATCTGGTAAAACATATCGTTACTCACTGCTTATGTCATTGCTTGATGGTTTCCATAGGTCAGCAGCATCTCGAAAACATTTGGCTACCGAAAAAACGACCAAACATTTGGAAGATACATTCGGACATTAGCATTGATTGTTCGAAGAACTGCAACGAGCAAAGATGTCGAGTAACTCTTTCCTGTGGATATAACAAAGCTATTAAAAGACTCCCCTCCTGCAGACGTATGCTGATTCCGAGTTACAATCCCACTTTACAGGACTGGTGTGATCTTTCCGGGAGGGGGTCGACTGAAAACTGGAATTGTGTAATGTGGCGGTTTTGTCGAGATTAGACATGTCCTTTGGTAGATAACAAAATGCATTTACATCAGGTGCTTTTAACTGAAGAGTAGTCCTCATGCCTCCTTTTGGATCATTGGCAATGAATCTGGCTTCATGGTAAGAAGCATCACTCATTGCATACACTTCCTTGCTAGGATTGGTTGCAGAAAGTGCATTCATCTGCTGATGATCAGGCATTTCTTGAGTACTACTTGTGTTGTACATGGCTGCATCGTTTTGTTTACGCCCAGGACGGTTCAATGCTTCGTCTGTGTAGTCACTCGTGTATGCTCGGGAGTCTGTCTGCTGCTTCAGAAAAAAAGCGACCGGTTCTCGAACATGTGGTGATAATGCATTCAGATTTGCAGGGTTCCTGAAGCCATTTGACAACCTTACATCAAGACTCCGCCCAAATGCATTACCTGCATCTTGAGTTTTCGAAGGATCTCGAGGCGACCAATGAGGAAAGGAACAAGAGGCTTGATTTTGAACACGTCGCGAGGAACCGCCAGCAAAACTTGAAACCGGTGTTGAGACATGGTTAAGTTGTGGATGTGGCTGAGGCTGCTTAACTGGCATAGCTACATCTTCCTCTCCTTTGTTTACCACCATCAGATTCTTACCCATTAACCTGAGTACAGGATTAGAAGTAACTGGACTGGCAGGCTCACAATTACTCCTTGAAAACTCGAGTCCTGGATTGTGGAAACCGTTTACTGAATGGGACTTGAACGGAGACTTATCGACCGGAAACACCATACTCCCAGACATTGTATGTTGGGAATGGCTCTCAGGCATAATATCCAAGCTATTTGGTCTAACGTTCAGACCATAAGTTATATGCTTTCTCTCCATGGCTGGCATGGTTTCTAAACTCGACGACTGATGCCCTGTCGGTTCTTGATAGGCTACATTGATGTCTTGAAAAGCTTTGTCAGTCCTCTGACAACGGCAAGGCTGGACATCATTTACGACGCCAAGAGTTCCCCTTTCAAATGGCAATGCACCAGCATTTGGAGGTACCGAGCCCGATTTATCGTGAAATACATCCGATGATACTCCAGATGAATTATTATGCTTCAAACAAGATCTAGCTGCTGTGGCGTTTGAGATGGTTGATGTTGCAGAAATAGGCGAACTTGATGAAACCCCATCAATCAAATCATGCTGATCTTGGCAAGAATGAACCCAGCTATTGCTCAATGAAGAATTTCCTCGATATTCTTCAGATCTCGTATCCCTGAGGGGACTTGGCAAGAATGATCCTGGAGGTCCCGGAATAGATATTGGATCGACCTCGAAACAAGAACTTCCTCGCCTGATTTCAGAATCCAATTCTCTTTCAACATCATGCTCAATCATGGCACTGCAGTCTTCATCAGCAAAGAACATATCTTTTGTTCCATCTGATCCATATAAGAAGCATGAACAATTCTGTGTAGATTGTAGCATGACCCTTGTCTTCTGAAACTGTGGATCCATGGATTTACAAAAGCACATGAAGCTCTCCTTTAGAGGGAGTTTTGAAGAAGAATCCACACTAACATCTTCGCGAAACGAATTTTCTTTGCTACCAAGTTCAACGCCTTTGATTTCTTCTCGAAATTCAGCACGCATTCTAACATGAGAATCCATGTTTTCCTCCTCGTGACAACCATCGTATTCGAATTCTGAATCCGAACTACTCAAAGCTATGGCTTTGCTCATCGAATCTATATTTCTTCTGTTTTTTAGTTCACTGCTTACTTTGGGAGATGCTACTTCAGTAACGACCTCCTTCGTCGATCGATCACTTTCAATACTCCCATCTGATGAACTATGGCTGTGATCAAATGTCGAATGCCAGGGAATCGTCCCTTCGTCGACATATGATTCAAATTGGTCTCTAGGCTTCTCATAGGTAGAAAGTCGATTAGACCGGCTGCTGACAAGTATCTCTTTTCTTCGAGCCAGATTCAACTTCCTGGCTTTCAGTGCATTAGCATGGTAATTTCTTGACAACTTGTTAGATCCAGGAGGCAAATTAGATGGCTGATAATCTTGTATGATTCTCCCATTAGTATTTCGAGGTTTTACCGAACAATTGATGCCAATAAAACCGCTACGTTTGCTCAGACGATTCGTAATCTTTTTCCTTTGTGTCAGAGAATCAGTATCAACCATTTCTCCAGAAAATGCACTTCTCAGACTCCTCCTCACCGGAGACCACCCTCTCTTATCTGAAATATCGACTTCGTATTCCGTGTTTTCAGTTCTCTCACTGCTTTCAGGAGATGAAACACTGGTCTGATCCTGAACTTGACTCCTCTCAAGAACCGATCGATCAGTATCCACCGCTGCGCCATGAGACACATGCCATTTAAACATAGAAGGTTGATGATATCCCTCTTTCCTAGAGCTCTTACTGGCTCTAGTTCGTTTCGAGCAGGCCCACTGTCGTAAAGTCCCGGAGTCATGTGGTTTCACTTGCTTTGTTATTTTATGCACCTCCAAGCTACTACTTCCTTTCAGTTGATTGTGTTCTTGAACCTTATCAGTCAGTCAAGAAGGAATGAACTCAGCAATCACACAAAGCTAAATGATAATGCCACATTAGTAGAAAATAGCAGAGTTCATAGTTTATTGAGTGGTATACCTGAGAAATGCACTTTTGAGCTGAAACTTTTCTACCTTGAGCAGATGCATGGCTTTTGTTCTTTTTGGTATAATGGAACTTCCTTTCCTTAACTCCACTGAGTTTCTGTGAACCGACATCATCTTGCACGTCAGGCAACGACAACGGAGAGCTAAACTTCGACAAAATTCGAAGCTTCGTGCCATTGGCGTCGATATAAACTGCAGCGTCTCCATTATCACCAATATCCTCAGGATGAACTAACACCACCTTCTGCTTTTTTCCTTCATTAGTATTAGTAGTCTGATGATTTTCAATATCTTGAGCTTGAAAGCCTGACAAAGTAGCCCAAGCTGTACCATTTCTTCTGTCAAGCTCTTCTAACGTGCACGGACGTGCTGTAGCATAGATATCAACCATCAACTTCGTCTTCCTCGGCTTGATCCTATACCGTGTGAGTTTGGAGTCTAATGAACACTTTGGAGTTGATGCTATAGAAAGGCACTGATCAATATGGGCATTTAAAGTAGTATTTGATGAAGAGGAGAACGTCTTGCAGACAGGGCATACTTTTGAAGCCATCGACTCGGATACGATACTAAAACTCGTAGCAATATCTGCAGCTGATGTTTGGTCGATATGATTAGTAGATTTTCTGATTATCTTGCACATTTTACCTGAGGTTTTGATTTTAATTTCGTTCTTTTCAGATGCTCGAAAACCAGTAGTCTCCACCTCAGCCAGTGTTTCCAATAAACTATTGGTTCTTAAGGATAAACTAGATGGTCCACTTGTAGAAGCCAATTCATTTTGAGATTGTGAGATGCTTGTCATGGTGGAAGACAAACCATTTTCTCCTTCACAAGGGCTTACTTGCTTTTCATCCAACTTTGCAGCTGATGTGTCTAGTTCTACATGTTCTTTCGCCTCAGAAAAATCCCGAAAAACATTTTCGAACTCTCGGGTCGAACTTTCACCTCCACACCCCGCAAGCCGATGGTTTCTCACACAATCCACGGACTGAAACGGTGGTAACAAATCCTTTACACCATGTTTCAAGCAAAGCTGCAAATTCTTGAGGGAAAATGGCCAGTTGTTTCGGATATCCTTGCTCCGTGTGCTGAAGACATAATCTCTGCGTCAAAACCATTTATTTTCGTTAATTCTCGTATATTGGTCGGTCTTCAGCCTAGCCGTTAGAGACCAGAAAGCTAGCAAAAAGCAAAACCTTGAGAACTTATGCTCCCACCAATATAAGATTTGTACATATGTACATGGACGAAAGTAAATCAAGAGAAACAAATAATAACGACGTCTCATGGCTCGTGAATAAACATACAACACAAAACACTAAGTATTCCCAAAGGAGGCAGCTCTATGAAATCCACATCCACACAAAAGCATCAAGAAATGCAAAAATGATTAGTAAAAAGAAACATAAAATATGTGAAACAGGCAAAACAAACCCATTAAGGAGCAAAAGTCTTGTAGTATAAACAGGCTAAGAAGAGGTATGAAAATATGGACAAGATGGGTATCATGAATTAGGCCACATGGTGGGGCTAAACTAAAAGCAAGCAACAATTTACCATGTGGATCTACCCCAACAACAGAGATTTTCCCAGATGAAAGAACATCACTGTTTATCATCAAACAAAGGGTGAGGAGGAGCTGAATCAATACCTCAAGGAGAAGTTTGGGAATGTGGAATGGTCAAGAACAGCGGCGCTTGATAGATCCTCCTCTGGCAAAGGAAGGTGATGTTGAGAAGGCCTCTCATCATCATTAACGTTGGCTTTCAGCTGCTGAAGTGGGGGATCTGGTGGAGGGTTTTCAATGGATAACATCTGATGAAAAGCTTCGGTGATGATGTTGTGCTGTTCTTGAAACAGTCACAAGCTCGTCTGCTGCTGCTACTACTACTACTATCTCCACTACTAGGCCTTATCTTTAACTTAGACTTCAGCATATATATAAAAGAAAAAAGTACAGTCTTTTTTTTTCTCTCTCTCTTTACCTTCTTCTTCCTTGTTTCACTCAAAATCTTCAGCAGTCACCAAAAACCAACCCAGAAACAAAAAGATCAAGCAACCCCACCAGAATTTTCATCCATTAACCTGCAAAAAGTGAAGAAATTAACATGAAATCATGAATTATAAGAGAGATCCAAGGCAATAGAGGGCAGAATAGAAGGGTGTAGAACTAAGTAGAACGTTATTTTATGTGATGGAAGTGAGATTTAGAAAGGTTAAGCAATGAATCGCTTAGGAAAAGAACCAAAAAGATATATGAACATCATTTCATGCGGTTTAAACCCCGAGCTCAAAATCAAAATCAAGAGTCTAAAAGTCCTCAAAATAGGCATGAAATTAACAGAAGTTTCAAAATCTGAAGGGCCAGATGAGGAAACGAAAAGGCACAAAATTAGAAGAAGTTTCAGAATCAAAACATGAAACCCATCAAAGAACAAGAAATGAACAGGCGACTGAAGAAACCAAACAAGAAAAAACCCCCCAGAATCTAGCTGGAAAAAGAGAAGAGGAAATTGAAGGGAAAAACAGAACACCCAGAAGAGAAATGATGGAGACAGAGGAGTTAGAACACAAACCTACGCATCTGGGGAAGAAATGAGGGGGAAGTGGATAGGAGGAGGGTGTTGGGGAGAGGGGAAATAGAGAAGAGGAGAGGGAGAAGAGAGGAAAAAACAGCACCACCCACTAACACATCAAAAAGGGGGCATCAGGTTCTTTGTTTTGTTTTGTGTTTTGTTGTTCTCTCTCCTCTGTGTATCATCAGAAAAAAGCAAAGCTTTGTAGCGCTAAACACACCACGATTCACTTGTGAATATGCGTCAACAGACCCGACTCTTTGTGGAGGAGGAGAGAGAGAGAGAGCCAATAATGAAGAGAGAGAGAGAGAGAGAAGGAAAAAGGTGAGTTTTTTATTTTCTTCTCTGTAGAATTGTGTACAATGACTTTTAACACAAACAATACAGAAAGCTGTCTAAACACGCCTCCTACCAAATTCCCCTACTCCACTTCTCCATTCCATTTTCTCTCTTTCCTCTTTAATTAATTTAAATATTAATTAAAACTACTCACAATTCGTTCATTTATTTATTTTGTAATAAATCTCTTTATTTATTTATTTATTTATTTTGAGTCCAATTATGTTATCAAACGTTTTCATACAAGTGTTCAAAACACTCGATGTATTGTCAAAAACGTGATCAATCCAACCTAACTTGCATGGTGTTAAAAACGACTCTTCACGTTCATATTATCTACTTTGAACGTTCCTATGACTATATTTTTAATTTTTCTTATATACTCATGATCCAACCATCTTCAACATATGATTTGCAGTAAAACTAGATTGAGTTGAATGGAATAAACTCGAGTTTATTATATACATATATATATATATATATATTTTTTTTGTTATTTATTCGATAACAACTCACAAAGATATATTTTTTTTTAACTATTTAGAGCCTAGCAATTTTAATTAAATATTTAAAAATAAATAACTCAACTCACCTTCATTCTTAAAAATTTTAATATTTAAACAAAAAATATATCTTAACTCTACCAATTAACTCACAATTAGTAAGGATTTTCATTTTAGCCACGGAGCCAATACCTCCCCAAACGATAAAGTTTTCCGTTTAGAGACGGGGAATGTAGGAGGGAGAGGAGAATATTTTTTCCCTGTTACAGTAGACGTAATTATATTCTCTATTCCACCTAATTTTCCGTCGGCTATATTAAAAAATAAATTAGTTAATTTTGAGATATTTATTATAATATTTATGTAAATACTTTTTTAACTATTATAAATTAGGTTATAATATTAAGATTTGAAATTTTAGAAATATATGAATTTATTAATTAATATTAATAAAAAGAGGAGAGAGAAATAATAATAATAATAATAATAATAATAATACTAAGAGATTTGGGTGACGGCTCCCCCCAAAATGTCGGTTTTTTATTCACTTTTGTTTTTTGGTTGAAAAATTGATGATAAAAACACAAAACTGTAGCTACACGACAAACAACCCATCTCCGTTTTCTTTATTTGGTACCTAAATTCAAATATCATAATTTCTCGTGATTTTATACCCAAGCCTACTGCTACTACATATTGTTCTTTTCGAACTTTTCCTTCAAGGGCTTACTCGCAACGTTTTAAAATAAGTCTACTAAATAAAAGTTTTCACACCTTTATAAGAAATGTTTTGTTCCTCATTTAGACCGATGTGATAACTCACTGACTATAAGGTTATGAGGTTGGAACTCTAGATTGTATATTTAAAATAAGTAAATAGAGGAATATTTATATTTAAATTTTGAAAACTAGATTTAGTAAATTGAAACTATATATATACTCATTAGCTAGTGCTCTCAAAATGTACTTCTCTTGAAGTTAGCCATATAAAACCTTTATCGAATATTCCTCCTTATATTTTCTCTCTTTTGTTCTTTGTGTTTATCTTGATCGAGTGTGTGCATTGCTGATATCAGAATTAAAAACTGGTATCGATCCTAACAGTGTATTTATTGAGATGTAATGAGGTATTTGGTGTGAAAGTACTTATTTTTGTTAAATTAATTTGACTAATTCAATGGTATAAAAAAAAGGACTAAATTAATTTTCTACGTCAAAAATGTAATTATTTAATTTTTATATGACAATGTTGAAATTTAATATTGTACTTACTTTTTCCATTAAATTTAAAATCGATTCCTTTTTAGGTATGATTACAACTCCTTTGACCATACATGTTGACAGGGTTCTTAGCCAACCAACCCATACCAAGGACAACACCATAGTCCATATTCATATCACATCCAAAAACCGACATCATACCTATCATTTGTCCTAACTTTTTCTTTTTCAATCGCGTTAAGAGTTTTTTAGGTCTCCGAGTCGACTTGATCTCTTAATCCAAATTTTGAGTATTCATTTTAAAAACTTTTGAACCCATATCGTATTATCGTGGTCATATAATGCTCGAGATTCTAGATCCAAGATGACTCAGAATATTATAATGTTTACAAGTTTTTGGTTCTCGTAAATACGATCAAACTATCAATCACAATTTTTATAAGGTTTCTACATCAAAATGTTCTTAAAATTGTTTACATCAAAGAAGAAACAATCGAACATGGACAAAGACTACCAAAACCCAGAACCAGATTTTGATACGTCTCTGTCCCATAACTTCATTGCTCTGTAATGTTTTTCATCATGTGTTACGTATCACTAAATACCCGTCGGAAAGGATAAGATTAAGATGAGTGATTATAAAAATACTCAAACTCAACTAAACTACATGTTAACATAAACTATGACTCCTTGATGACCCTTTAAAGATCCAACCTAACAACGTCATAAATATGAAAGGAGCAACTCCGTAGATGAACTAAGTAAAATATATACACGGGTAGTCATAAAATGACTCCTCGTTACTAAAAGTATTTAGCGATCATCTAGAGCTCGATCATAGTAACATCGTCGTGTTCAAAAACTCGAAGAAATTTGAATCGAATGGATCGATTGATACGAACATACAATAGCTGGTCGCGTCTTCCTTGCAAACGCAGCAAAAATGTGAAACCAGCAGCGGCGGAGCTATGAGTTTTACAGCCAACGGCGGTGGAACGACGAACGAAGCGGTCCACGGTGTTACGCCAGCCTTTGTAATGCATTGTCGGCTGCCCTTGTTGGTCACTCTTACCACTTGTCGGTCAGCGGCCGGTTGTATATTTCAATTTTTTTATATTTTTAATAAATTATTATTATTTTCTTTTAATTTCCATTATTGGGCCTTGCACTACTCAAGCCCATACTTCCTAAACCTTTATTCCATAGGTTGGGTTGGGTTGGGCTTAAAATGCCCGGCCCATCATAAATCCAGCCCATTAAACAAACAACAATAAACTATGATAAAGTAGTCATTCTTGATGTGTATATATATTATTAATCTTTGTTTATTATTTATTTAATTAAGAATTATTAAATTAAAATATATGGTATTGTTAAATATAATTCATAAATGAGCTACTTATGGAATATATTATTATAAATTAATAACATGTTATATAAATTAATGTTTGTTTCTTGAAATCCATAAAATTATTATTATTATTTTAATACAAATTTTCTTTTAAAATTTACTTGTTTTACTAATTAATGGCCCTAAATTTCAACAAAACATATGGATTTTCTATTTTAATTATATATATATTATGACTTTTGACAATAAAATTATAATTTAAATTAAAAATATTTTTTTTAAACATGGTATTCTTTACCTTTTTTTTTTTAATTTTTTTTTTTGAGTTTATAAAATAAGAGTATAGTTAGGTGAAATAAGTAAACAAAATAAATAGCTGTCTGTAACTATGTTTTTAATTGATAATTTTTTTTTAAATAAAAATATAAAATATTTTTTTAGCTCTCTTAGCTTAACAAAATTTTAAAAAGTTATAAAAAAAATCATTAAAAATTAAAAGTTAAATAAAAGAATGATCTAGACACATCAAATTAAATACATATAAATGATACATAAAATATTAATTTAATGATACATAATTTAATTGAATTATTAATTAGTTAATATCAATTAAAATTTGTTAATATAATGTTTTAAGTTACCACAAACAACTTCAATTAACTAGACTGAAGAGAAGTATATTTTTCTTAAAAAAATTGTGTTTCTCATGTTTTTTAATTAAGTTAATGATAAATCGGAATAGATTGAATCTGTCGAAAATTTAACTCAAATAAGTCGATCTAGTTTAATCCAACGATTCCTTAACTTGAACTTAGATCTCAGACATGCTCCATGAGATGGAGCTTCGAAAGATTAGACAAGTGTTGGATAATAAGCGGTTGATTTGCTTGTAATATAGTAGTAGAGGATCGTAACATCCAAAATCCATTACTAACAGACATTGTTCGTTTTTATGAAAATAAAATAATTTTTTGTTTATATTATGTTTATCATTATCTAATTTTCAAATGTACGCAGTTCATAGGTAAGAATATCACGTTAAATAATAATTTAATGGGTTCATGGTACGAGAAAAAAGTTTGGGTGTTTTATTCATACAACTCAGTTGTCAATTCTTACAAATAATTTGGTCAAAATCGTTCCTGGAGAAAGATGTGAGTTAATTATAATGAGTTAATTATATTATATAAAAAGTATATGTATTTATTTCCAAAATTTTGGGAGTAAAAACTAATATTTTAATTTTTTTTTTTCTTTTGAGATCTGATTGGAACAATGTAGAAGTAGGGTCTTGTAGTATAGAATTAATTTATTTATTTGATTGAGATGCACAAAGATTCATACAATAATGTTCACATTTTGAAGATGGAAATCATAGGAAGATCGCACTCGGGATCAATTAACATATAGCAATCTGGTAGCTGCCATGGAAGAAACCTAGCAATTAGTGCCCCCAGAATTTACACGATTTTGGAAGCGCAGCATCTAATGCGGAACGTGAAGCGGCGTTGTTCCCTGTTTACTTTTTTTATGCGTCACTTTCTTCCGCCGGGTTTCTTCCCGGTTCCACAGAGCTTGCCGGAATTTCAATTCTGAAAAATTTTCCCATTCCAAAACCGATTTCATTCATTACCCATTTCTCCTTTTTTGTTGAATGACTTTCACTTGTGCTATCTAACGAGAGGGTCACCGTCCTCCTTCGACTTGGGAGCAATTTGGCTATGGCGGAAGCTGAATTTTCCGATCAGAATCGCCTTCTTAGATCCATGGAGGATCACAAAGGGGAAGATCATGATTTAGAATCGCAAGATGGAAATGGAATTCAGCCATTGAGAAATAACAGTGGAAAACGAGGTGGGATTTTGGATATGTTTCATCATCTCAATCGTGGAGGAAGCTTCTCTGGTCGTCGTCTTAGTTCTAAGCGTCATGATATGGATAATCATGCCGCTACTTTCAGCCCTACTTCTCTTAATATTGTTGGTAGAACTCGTACCGCCTCTTCTTCTTCTTCTTCTTCCGATCGTCACAACAATTTCAATTCATATTCTCTTCATGCCCCGACTGTAAGCGATACCGAAATTGACGACAATGTTGATGATACTGCCGCTCCTGAATGGGCTTTGCTCCTTATTGCCTGTCTCCTTGGCCTCGCCACCGGCCTTTGTGTTGCAGCTTTTAACATGGGGGTTTGTTTCTCTCATCTGTTCATCTTGCTTGATGTTCTGATTGATATCTGCAATAATGGTGCATCCTTTTCCTTTCATGTCTTCATTGTTTCTGTACCAGATTTCTTAGTTACTAATAACTTGATAGCTACATTCTGGTTTAATTATCTATTCAAATTTGTACCTGCTTTTTGTTCATTTGGTTGGTGATGATGTTAGCAATTTAAGATTGAACAGACTCAGCCGAATTCCAATTGTTTTTAGTCACTAGGTGTTACAATGCTTCTAATATCCAATAACGAGGAGGAGGACGACGAGATGTTTAGTCCCCCATAAAAGAAAAAGTAAGAAGAGAAAGTGGTTAATCTTAACCTATTAGCTTATGCTTTTAAATTCAGTGTTGATTCAACAAAATCAAAAGAGAATGAAGCTAACATTTTCAACTAAATTGCACTTTCATAGCAGTTCTCTTGAATAAATTTTAGTGACTGCATTATCTTGGTACTAAAATGTTTCTCTCCTTTTAGCAATTGTTTAAATAACTTTTTGGCGTCCTGGATGAACTTGGATTTCCTCCATTTCTTTTTAAGAAACAATATTGTATTTTCCTTGTTTCAATGAAAATATCCTGTTAAAGAAGAGCTCAATTAAGCACTTGAATGACAATAAGCTTTATGAGAATTTTGCTGATGCCATGGTTCTCAAGTAGGTACATGTAATCCATGAGTGGGCCTGGGCAGGCACTCCAAATGAGGGTGCTGCTTGGCTTCGCTTACAGAGAATGGCCGATACTTGGCATCGCATTCTATTGATACCGGTAACTGGAGGTGTTATAGTGGGCATGATGCATGGTCTGCTTGAGATACTAGACCAAATAAAACAGTCGAGTACTTCCCAGAGGCAAGGATTTGATTTACTCTCTGGAGTTTTTCCTACAGTTAAAGCTATTCAGGCAGCCATTACTTTAGGTACTGGCTGTTCACTGGGTCCTGAAGGACCTAGTGTAGATATTGGGAAATCATGTGCCAATGGATTCTATCTTATGATGGAAAACAACAGTGAAAAGATAAAAATAGCATTTGTTGCGGCTGGTGCAGCTGCTGGAATTGCTTCAGGTATCAATTGTTTTTTGTTCCTGATATTTCCTTTCCTAGAGACGTCTGCATGATCAGTGGCTAATCTTTTTTGTGACCTTTTCTTTTAGGCTTTAATGCAGCCGTTGCGGGTAGCTTCTTTGCAATAGAAACTGTATTAAGGCCTTTACGTGCAGAAAATTCTCCTCCATTTACGACTGCAATGATCATATTGTCATCTGTTATTTCTTCTACAGTCTCGACTGTTTTACTTGGCACGCAGTCTGCTTTCACAGTACCTGCTTATGATTTAAAATCTGCTGCTGGTATTTTTCACGTTCACCTTTCATTCAGTCGTTTAAATTATCCAAAATCATAATTCGTTTAATCGGCATCATTTGGGGCATGAATCTATGCATATCATAATCATTGCCATCCTATATTTGTTTCTTTTTTATTATTGTTGTTATACCTTCAAATTTGACGAGGAACATTACAAGCTTCATTGATACGAAGAGAGGCATTCTTTGATGTGAAGCAAGATATAAGTTCATGCTTAACAATGTGGGAGATTAATCTACTAGGGGAATCGACAATCAATATAGAACGGAGAGGAGATAGGGCTCCACTTCACTAAGGCCTCTAGAAGTCCAAAATTTCCCTTTTGGTTTATTGTTAATGATGACGAGGAGAAAAAAAGGACACCGGAGACACGAGCTTATAACCATATCCTCCATTTATTATTGAATCCTTTAGCTTTAAGAATGGTATAAAAAAAGTTATAATCCACTTTGCCGATAGCTTCCTTGGGATTAAGTGTGATGCCAACCCTTTCCTTTTTCTTTTCTTTTTCCAATCATATATGATTTGTAGGCCAATTGGACTGAGTGAGGTTGCGGGATAGTATGGCTTTAGCTCTTACAAATTGGACTTTAGCCTAGATCTTATATGCACTTAAAAGGGGTTAGTTGTGGATTGTTTTGGCATCTTTTCTCTTTGGTGTCAGCATATGAATTTTTCGTCGAGGTTAGCATCAATGGTATCAATTTCAAAGAATCTTTGTAAAACTGCCGTGGAACAATTTGACTGTAGAAAGTGTCTGAATCATTAATATACACGCCTACTAATTTTGATTGATTACTGATTACCTCATGTTTCATTGTAGAACTTCCGTTGTACTTGATATTGGGAATGCTATGTGGCGTTGTGAGTGTAGCAGTGACACGTTTAGTTGCTTGGTTCAGTAAATTATTTGAATTCATCAAGGAAAGATTTGGCCTTCCTCCTGTTGTCTGTCCTGCTTTAGGCGGCTTGGGAGCTGGAATAATAGCTCTCAAGTACCCTGGAATCCTTTATTGGGGTTTCACAAACGTTGAAGAAATCCTACATACTGGGAATCGTCCTTCTGCTCCTGGGGTTTGGTTATTAACTCAGATAGCAGCTGCAAAAGTTGTGGCCACTGCTCTGTGCAAGGGTTCTGGGCTCGTAGGCGGTCTTTATGCACCCAGTCTTATGATTGGTGCCGCTGTTGGTGCTGTATTTGGGGGCTCAGCTGTTGAAGTTATTAATGCTGCAATTCCTGGAAATGCAGCTGTTGCACAGCCGCAGGCCTATGCATTGGTAGTTTTCTTTTTCCCTAGTATTTTTCTTGTTAACAGTAAATGATGCACTACTTGACTCTTTTAGTGGTTACTCCAGGCAATATTTTGTTCAATTCTTCATTATTTGATGCCTTTATACAGGTTGGAATGGCTGCTACGCTGGCCTCGGTCTGTTCGGTGCCTTTGACATCGGTTCTACTTCTGTTTGAGCTGACAAAGGATTATAGGATACTCCTTCCACTCATGGCAAGTATCCCCTGATATCTTTAGTACATTCTTACGGAGACAATTTTGTTAAAAAGAAAAAATCTGTAAAGAATAACCATGTCTAGTTGAGAAACTGGATACCACTTTTCCTTGCAGTAAATCAGAGCTCGCCTTAAAATGTCATTGCCCTATGAATTAGGAACTTCCACATATCGATTTAAAATTAGTAACCTTCATATAGTTCCCCCTTCCTCGTCCTTACAGTTTGTGGAAATCGAAGGCACTCTTGGAATCCTGGAATTAATGGAGAACCTTCAAGTATTTTGCCCATACTGCTTTTGATAAAAGAAATTATGGTAATCAAGGATGCAAGTAATGATACAGATGTGGGTGTGTCTAGGACTAAACTCACTTTCCATAGCTTTTTGAATTATTATCTTGAAGGCTTCCATTATGGATATTTGTTTTTGAAATGTCTATTTCTGAACCTCTTGCTCGGTTTCGTCATCATTTTTAATCCAAAATTGGGAGTTCTCTTATTAGAACAATGATAAAAGATTGAATCTGAGCGTGAATTGTAGCTTTTAGTAGTTTCCTTGACAGTTGAGCAGCCGTCACTGCACAATTCAAACGCAGGGAGTGCTGGACATTTTAAGAACTCTTTGACATCTTATTCTTACAACATATTTTTGAAGCGTTAACTTCTCAATGAATGGATCTTATTTTCCTTACTGCTGCCAAATCTATGAGCAGGGAGCTGTTGGCTTGGCCATATGGGTTCCTTCAGTTACAAAACAGACCAAGGAAATTGAATCATCTGAAAAGCGGGTTTCAACTAGAGGTTATAGTTCTCTTTCTCCTCCTGGACATAAAGATGGGGCATCTTGGAGGTATGATAGTGGTGATAAGGACTTAGAGCTCTCTGAGGTGGTAACTCCATCTGACCGGGAATCTAATTATGAAGATAATCTTCTTGAAAAACTAAAGGTACCTATTTCTCCATCTGTCCTCCGCCTCCCTCTATCCCTTCGCAGCTTGTTATTTATCCGAATTCTTATACTCGACATTCCTGCCTTACAGGTTTCTAAAGCGATGTCAAAGAACTATTTGAAGGTTCCGTTGTCTTTGTACTTGAAAGATGCACTGAAATATATGAAGGATAACCAGCAGAACTGTGCATTAGTGGTTGACAATGATGATTTACTTGAGGGAATATTGACAAATGGTGACATTAAAAGATATCTCTTCAAGAAGTATGGCGACACTCTGAAGAGTGATTCACTGAGTGTACGTATCGATAATGCCTAGCAATTTTTGTTCCATGCTTTATTTTTAGACCCTGCTGGTTCTTGATCTTGGTTGCATAATCTTAGAAAATGAGATGGATGAAAATCAAGTATCTAGAAAACCGATGTCTATGGATACCTGACCTTTATTTGCTCATTTTGTTAATAATTCCTGCCTTGAGCAAACTCGCTATTATGGCAGGTGGATACCTGTCTAGTGTCCTCTATTTACACTCGAGGGATCAGTTATCGTGGCCGAGAACGAGGAATTTTGACATGTTACCCAGACAATGCTCTGGCAATTGCTAAGGAACTAATGGAGGCGAAGGGTGTAAAGCAGTTGCCCGTCATTAAGCGTGGCAGAGGAAGGAAAAGAAGAATTGTAGCCGTTCTCCACTATGATTCAATTTTTAGCTGCCTCAGGTTCTTATTGAATCTCAAAATATGGTGTTTTATAAATAAATTATCGTTTGCCTTTAAATAATTGGTACTTCCTGGATTTATATTCTCAAAAGGCTCAAGCCACCTGAAATTCCATGCCGGTTTATCCTGGGAAGAGAAAAGAAAATGTAACCAATAAAACAGTCTCCAACTTTTTTGGATATTACAAGGTCCTGACTTGATAAAAGGAAGAATGTCTCAAGATTCATGGTTTTTGCATCTGGATTTTTCTTCTAAAAAGCTTTTTTTTTTTTTTCTTTTTTTCTTTTTGTTTCTGTGCAGAGAGTTCATCAATCAAAGGGAAAAAGTATATCCTAGTGGAAAAGAGATCGTCGTCCAGGAGAGCGTTGCAGATAGTCATTAAGGAACTGTGCAACAGATTCAGAGCTAAAGTTCTTCAGCATTCAGAATTAAAGAACAAGCTGAATGTTGAACTATGATCTGTTTTTATTCAGAATTCTTCCCACTGATGACAGAATATTTGAAACCCTCTGGTTGTTCTTCAGCGAAGAGGTAAACTATATGGTGAGTAAATCTGATATATAATAACTTTCCATGTAATTTAGCAAATTGTATTTTACGCAGAAGCAACAATCCAAAAGCTGTAACATAATACACAAGATTATTTCAGAAGAGTTGGAGAGGTTACTGAGAATTCAGGCTAAGGGATCCATATGGTTTATATTAGGATATCTATGGGCCATGCCTGTTCAAAGGATTCAGTCTCCTTACATTTTAGGTTTCAATGTTAGTTGATTCATTCACTATTCTTTGCATTGGAATATGTACTCTTGATCTGTAAGTTGTACTGGTCAGGTCTAGTGGAATCATTTCAATGAATTCGCTCATTCCCTCATGATTTGTTGGGATTGTTTTCTTGGAAATCTTAATGAAGCAATACATTCTCCCCTACCCCTTTTCATATTGAAACACAGGATTGTTTTCTTGGAAATCTTAATGAAGCAATACATTCTCCCCTACCCCTTTTCATATTGAAACACTTCATTGTCGAGCCCCGCCCAACTGCTTCCCGTCTTTGAATATCTATAGTCCAATGACTTGAAATAATGTTTTGGGTTAGTCTACCCCAAAGGTTTTTGTATTTGAGAGCAGCCCCTTCTGTCAAAAAGTAAAACATTGTAATGAAGCTCTAGAACTGTTGCTTGTTATGGATGTAAGAATTCAATTTTTTGTAAGGAAATACGAAATAATATAGTCGTTTTGATAAATTTCGCATCATAAACCAACTGTTATGACTGAATTATGTTTCATCGACTGATTTGATCAGCTAAACCAAAAGCAGAAGAGAGAAATAACTTTGAAAAGATTTTACTGATGGAACGGTCATATATGTGTGTATTCATATATAATGACTGTGTGTAGAGTAAGGACTTTTACTTTCCTAGTGAACAAATATTGGGGGGAAAAGGTAAAATAAGAACTCACATCTCAGGTCCAAGTGGAAGCCTACTCATAATTTGCTGATACACGGTTGAACCATGGGAAAAGTTCAAGCCAAGGTCAGATGTAGGTTCTACATTGGGCTCTCCTTTAGGCAACAAGAAACCCATGTCGTTAACATGGTGCGCTTGTGCTAAGTATGGATGCATTGGCAGAACAGGAAGCTTGGCTTGGCCAACGGCTGCCATTGCCAGATTTCTCAGTCCAGGTTGGTTCATTCCAAAAGAGAACCCATGGGCACTGCCCATCTGCTGTCTTCCAGGAAGGCTAAACCCTGGCCTTTCAAATCTTGGAATGGTGTTCTGAGGCTGGGGTGGCCCCGGCCTGTGAATATGAGTTTGAGTCGTTGCGGTCAAGTTTTGTGTGGTTACTGGACTGGATGTACTAGAACTGATGTGGCTGCTGTTGCGAGCAGCAGGAACATCATGGTTGTGCTTTCCTTCGTATGTCGTGATCACAGACTTCAGGTCATGTGATGCCCGCTCGACATGCTTCCTCACTGTGCAGCCAGGATTTGTGCACTTGTAGTAACTCCTGTACACAAGCAGTTGGTGCACACCATCACAAACTTGTCAACAAATACACCTGGTGACAGGATGATACCACACAAACATGGAAATTTGATGTACCTAGGATTTGGATTTCCTTTTACAACCTTCTGCCCGTATTTGCGCCAGCGATAGCCATCGTCCAGAATATCTACTTCACTGGTAGTCTGCACGACAACTCTAGGCTCACGGATAGCTCTAGTGGCCCCGCTCATTTCCGTTACATAAGCGTCAAGTTTCCTGATATATCAAAGCAAACCAAGTTAATTTCATGGTTTTTCCTAAATCCTATCAGTTAGATACTTTCATAAAATAAGATAGTAATGTGAAGAACCTTTTCTTAGACTCAGACTCATCTCCTTCCCCCTCATATCCCAATGTTACACTGCCATGGGTGCCCCTATCATCTTCATCTTCATCATTAGAGAATGTGGATGAGGCATCAATGGCTTCAACTGTTTCAACATGACTGCCATTTTGAGCCTGTAAACTATTAGGCTGATTGCCATATTCAGGACCCACGGCTGCTGAAGAAGTCACCTCAAGGTTCTCATGCATCCAATCAGGAGCTCCATTTGGAATCCGTTTTTGTGAATCTCCCCAAAGGAGACCTTCAGCAGTCTGTTGGCCACCTTGTGCAGAGATGTCTAGTTGCATATTGATATGGGAATCCGAAGGTCCGGTTGCTGCTCGTCGATAGGGCGAGGGCTTTGGGTGATTATGTGTTCCTTTATAGATGATCTCTGTTATATGACCCTCATTAGATCGCTCGACTTTTTTCTTGACCTGACAGTTTGGATGCGTGCACTTATAATAACTACGAGGGTACTCGCTTCCTTTAACCTGTTTTTGTCCATATTTTCTCCAGTTATATCCATCCTCCGAGGGAGCGCCACTACCACCACCAGCCATAGAATCCCCACTGCCTCTTTGCTCCCCTTCATCTGGTTGCTCATCGAGTGGTGATGAATGTTCACCACCACCACACAAAGAATCAAAGGTTCTTTGATCATCTGACACGGTCTTACCCACATCATCCCTCTCGACGCATGACGTAGAGAGTCCCACTTGTGGATGATGACTGATTCTGCTTTGAGGTAAAGACAGAGATGGTTCTACAAGATGAGACTGAAAAGAATTTTCTGAACGTGGAACTGAAACCTCAATTCTTGGACAAGAATGTGGAAGAACAGTGGCAGAATCTGTCTACAACCATACATTGGAGGGCAAAAAGATTAGCAAACAAAATCAATGTGCAGTCTCTTGGTGTATATGCATCTTATAAATTGGCAACAATGGAAGGTGAAATTACTTTGCTTGCTGCACCGAGATAAAAGAACGATCCAGATTCCACACCAGAACTGAATGCAAACGATGTACTGTTATTGTTGAATGGACTGTCGCTGCCTTTATTGTCGCCCTCCGACATCATCATCGAGCTCCGATTACTAACATTCGGCAAGAACGGGAACTTTCCAGTTGTGGGAGATTGCTGTGCCTGCAGTAAGACATATGGAGGAAGAAAAACTTAATGATGAACAGGTCAAGATTATGAATGTTCTTGGGGTCTATTTACAAACCAAGAACAGAATTTAATATTCACCAACTAGAAGACTTAGCATCTGAATTCAGCTTTTACCAGTGAATTAGAAAGAAAAACAGGTGAATCTAGCAATGTAGTAGGACTGAGACCAGGCGGTATTGTCAAGTAAGGAGACTTGGCATCTGAATCCAGAGATTGATCAGTGGATCTAATACTCTCCGTATTCAATCTTGGAGCATTAAATCCAGCTCTGGCTGCAATCCTTTCCACAAGACCCCCACGGAATTTCTGCCCCGAAAACGAACTTAAATCCATCGACCGATCACCAGAATTGGCACTCGGGATCCCGCCTCTTGCAACGGTGTTGTTTGATATCGGATGTTCTCGAGGCCTTTGAAATAGCTCTTCAGTTTTATCAATGGTGATAGTATCCATTGCAGGTCTAGAACCAACATCCTCCCCTAGCATTGCTGAGAAGAAGGCTCGTGTACTGGGACTTGGAGGTACCCAATCCCCAATTATAGCAACGTTATCATCAGTCCTCCCCATTACTACTCGATTGCCAGGTTAATATAAACTCGAAAACCTCGCAGAAATGTCGAGAAATCCTGAATGGAAACAATGTAATGAATCGTATAACAATCTGTATAATGTAATCTTGATTGCAATAGAAAATGGATTGGAAGCTGGAATGAGCATGCATGAACAATCCCAGCTCCCAAACAAGACAGAGCCATGAACATGCATTTTCATTGTTATAATTTTCACATCTTAATCGTCTTTACGACAATATATGATTTTCGATTCTGTAACCTAATAATCAAACCCTAACATGAAACTTAACAACAAAAAAAAAAAAAAAAACATGTAATAAACCCTCTAAAACAGTGTTGGATCCGAAGATCGCGCGAAGATCCAAGCATTGAAGCCAACAAAACAAAGTTTGAGAAACAGAACAAAATCAAAACCAGAGAGACAAAATTGAAGAAACTTACAAGAAACACAAAAGAGTATACAGCAGAGTGATTACCCGAGTGATTCGGAGGCCGAAAAAGAATAAAATCAGAGAAGAACAAGAAAAAATGGGTTAGCGGCAAAATCCCAGAAGCAGAATCGGAGTTCAAAACTGGGTAGAAATTAAGATCCGAAAACATTATGCATCATTTTGATTATTGGGATTGAAGGAAAAAGAAAGAGATAGGGAAGAAGCGGGGAAAAAACAGGCACCCCAACGCCTTCTTCTCTCGCTCCTTTTGTCTCCCAAATTCCCTTTAAAAAGCTCTGGTCAAAACCCAATGATCAACAATGGCCACACCAACAAAATTACAAGAAAGATAAGCTTTCACTGTTGTAATAACCAGAAGGAAGAAAATGGGCGAGACCCTTTGAAGAACAACAAAAGCTCAAAAGCTGAGGAGATGGCGGAAATGGATGGAATCTTTGAATTCCAAGGAACAAAAGCAAAAAAGTGAAAATAAAATTTTGAATTTTAAAAATAATTATTTAATTTCCAAAGCTTCTTTTTTAGATTTTACAGAGTATTATTGTCTCCCCATCAATAATAACAATTTTTTGTTTTTTTTTTTTCTAATTTTGAAAAATCTATCATTAAAAAAATAGTTGTTATTACAATAATTAGAATTATTTTAAGGAATAGACAATAATAGAATTGATTTGGTGCCTTAAAATCAGCAATAATATTGAATATAATGTAATAGATCTTATAGGTTACATATTTATATGATTTTTTTTATCAAATTTATAAAACCGATAACAAGGCTGATTCGGTTCATGTGAACCGAGAATGAGAATTTTCGATACTCGTATCTTTTTTTAATTCTAGTAAAAAAATTAAAATGATTATTTATGTTCATAATTTGATAAATGAGAATTTTTTATTCTCGTTTTTATCCTATTTTTAGTATTAAAAAACAAGAGTGCTTACAAAAATAAAATTTTAAAATAATTTATGTGCATATAATTAATAAATCAAACACATCTTAATTTATTTAAAAATATATTAAATTAATTATATTTGGTTATTTTTTCTAAATTTAGCTAATATTTAATTACAACCCTAAATGAGTAAAAGGGCTTTTTTTTAAAAAAAAAAATCTTTTAAGAAATTAAGTTTATAATGTTTAATAATAAAAAATATAATACTGTTAACAAAAATATGTCAATGATTATTTGATTTTTTTAATATAAAAAAACTTTTGAAATTACGATTATACTCGGTTTTTGTTTTTTGTTTTTTTTTAATATGATGATTTTTTATTTGAATATAAAAATTGGAAATAAGAAATCAACTGATATTAAAATGTTATTGGAGTTAAAATATTTTTAAAATTATAGATTAATATAAATCAAATAAAATAAATAAAAATCATAAACATATAATGTATTTGAATTAAAAAAATTTATGTAATAATTGAGGTTTATAATATTAAGAAATAAAGTTTATAATATTTTATAAAAATGTATAATATTATTAGAAATAACAAACATAACTATTGAATTGGATTGATTTTTTTTTATTTAAATAAAAAGAAATTGGATATAAGAAATCAACTAAATAAATTATAATTCGATCCAATCAAACTCATTATCATTAACGCTTGATTATGAACAAAGACTATTTATTTTAGCGTTATTAATTTTTAGCGTTAATTAATGATTTTTTAGCGTTATGAACAAATTGGATATCTCTCTCCACTATTTAATGATTCAAATATTTTAGCGTTAATTAAAATTTTAAATTAATATATTTTATTTTTGAAAAAAAGGTTAGCATTTTTTAAAATTAAATTCATAATCAATAAATTTTGAAATTCAATTAAATTATTAATTCCCCGAAACTAAAAGCTTAAAAAATAAAATTTACTCAATTTACTCATTACAATGATTGAAGAATGAAAGGGAAGGAAAGAAGCAAAGTAAATAATTAATTTTAGAAAGCTGCAGCATTTACCGGAGAACGAGACAGCCGGTGAAAACAACAAAATCATTTTATAATGTTTCTTTTTCTAAAATGGTTTTGTCGATTTAGAAAAATAATAATAATTCTCTAAATAAAATATGGCGGGTTTTTTTTATTTGTGTGTCCGGTCGGCAAGACGGACAGAACCGGTCAAAAAAGGGATTTGCAATTCAGACCAGGTCTTTGTCCTTTCTTGCTAACGTCACCAACTGTCACCAATCTTGTATGATTAGCCACATGGAAACGTGCCACGTGGAAAAGCCTACGCGTGGTGTTCACCTAACAGTCACCCACGCTCCCTCACCTGTGCTGCATTATTTACCAACCACTGCCACAAGCTACTCAAATTTTGCCACTGCTTGCTTTTCAAACTTCCCATCAAAGTTTTAAAATGCGTCGGTTTGTATTCTCTCCAACCAATGTGAGATATCACACGTTTTATTCTCGAGACATTCTAAACAAAAACCTTCAACCAAACAACTCAAATATTGACAAATTATCTCAAATGTGAGTAATGATTTCCTCTTACAAGCATGTTTTTTAACGACCTAAAAACGAAAAACGAAGACAAAATCGTAATCAAATCAGAACGTTAATTTCGAACGACCTCGGAATAGAAAGCTACATTGAATATTACATTGGGAAACAAACTATGAAAGAGTTCTTCTCATGACTCAATCCAATACACTTTGGAAGAAGCTTAAAAAACAAGAAATGGTGCTATGAATCACCTATTTATTCAACAGACAACTCAAATTTGGACACCAAAATGCCATCACTATCTGCATACAGCCACTCTCCTTCATGAATCAAAGTCCCACCAATATGAACAGGCACATGCTTCTCTCCCAACCCTTTCTTGTTCGACTTCAATGGATTAGTCCCCAATGCTCTCACGCCAACATCACAGTTATTGATCTCATCAACATCTCTTATGCAACCATTTACAACAACACCAGCCCACCCCATGCTTTGAGCCACCTGCCCAAGATTGCCTCCCAACAATGCACATCTCCTGCTTCCATTCCCATCAATCACCAGAACCCTCCCCTCACCTTGGCTTTCAAGAAGTTGTCTTACCAGAACATTGTCTTCAAACACCTTCACTGTCACTATCGGTCCTGAGAACGCTCGTCGTTGCCCGTAAATTTTGAATTTTTGTTGTAGTACTCGGAGATCTCCGCTTATGACATGTGCTGCATTTGCATCACATATATCTGCTGTTGCTGGAGCTGCCATGCTTTCCACTGTAAGCAAGGATATGTCAACAGTTGGCATTTAGTTTTGAAGTAACTTTGACAGACATATCAGAAAATGAAGATGTGAGATCCCACGTCGGTTGGAGAAGGGAACGAAACATTCTTATAAGGGTGTGAAAATCTCTCCCTAGCTGCATTTTTTAAATTTTGAGGGGAAGCCCGAAAGGGAAAGCCCAAAAAGAGAACAATATCTACTAGCGGTGGGCTTGAGCTGTTACAAATGATATCAGAACCAGACACTGGACGGTGTGTCAGCGAGGATGTTGAGCTCCGAAGGGGGGGTGGACACCCTACAGTTTGTGAGGAGGGATGGATTGCAAGATCCCATATTGGTTGGAGAAGGGAACAAAAACGAGTGCTAGCAAGGACACTGCACCCGGAAGGGGGTGGATTATGAGATCCCACATCAATTTGAGAGAGAAAACATTCTTTATAAGTATGTGGAAACTTGTCCCTAGCAGACTCGTTTTAAAAACTTTGAGGAGAATCACGAAAAGCAAAACCTAAAGAGAACAATATCTACTAGCGGTGGGCTTCGACTTTTACGGAAGATATTCCATCGAAGACAAACTTTGGAGGGAGAAAAAATAGGTTAGTTAATAATAACCTGATCAAAGTAGATCAATACATGTACATATAGACTAATGTTTGAAGTGCAGAGAGAACGATTAAGAAAAAAGTTCAAAGATAAAAGAGTAAATTAGTGTTCTCTGTAAATAACTTAAGGCTAAAGACGAGACTCCAACCTATGCTCTCGATTACGAGAAAGTCCTTATTTACCCCACCTCGGTAGTCAAGATTCAGTCTGTTTGTCTCCTACTCTCTATTACAGCGAATCGAGATTGGTCTCTATTCCAAAATAAAACCTAGCGTTTAAAAATTCCGAGATGAAAGAACCATAGAAGTCCATGAATCAAACTATAAGATCTAAACAAACTATAGTTGGTCTAAACATCTCAAAAGTTGTTATCTAACAGTGGTTTGATATAGTATCAGAACAGAGATAAACGAACTTCATATTGTTTCATACACTGCTTAGTTGTGATCAAACACCTGATGGGCAGACAAGAAAGAACTTCAGCATTACTTCATACGGATAGTACAAATGAAACCATGATTTAAGCTATATTTTTCAAGCCACAGGATCTTGAAACTCTAGTTTACACTGACAAATTTTCTCCTATCCAATGGAAAACGACTAAATATTTCCCCAATGAAGAACAATTTTGCAATAAAGGCGAATAGATGATTAAAACAAAGCATCTCCCAGTACAAACAGCAACAATCGCAGAAGTAAAGCCTCATAGTACACATGATAAAGTTAGATCAACTAAACATGGAAGAAAAGCTTGATTTTCAAGTTCAGAACATCTTGGACTTAGTTGAAATTCAGCAATATCCAATAGAAGAAAGATGAAGAGATAAAAGGATGGAGGAAACTCACCCAATTGAAAACCTTGTTCTTCTGTGGAAAGCTAAGGCCCGAAACCGTCCAATTGAACAATCAAACATGGAGGGCGAGTCAATTTAAGGCACCCCATGGCGTAGAATTTTAGAAATGGTGGGAATTTGGAAAGCTTATCCAGATGATCGAATAAGCGATAGTGTTGATTCCTGTGCCCTGACAGCAATGATCATCAATGGCGCCTTTGGGCTTGTAAAAGTAACGGCTTTGTGATTGTTTTTGGACTGATGAGGCCGTTTCCATTTGAAGAAGGCTTCGATTTTATGGGCTGGGGAAGAAAGCCGATTTCATAGTGTAATCAGTCCATTTGGTTTCAGCCCTAATTTGAAAAATTAATATAAACAATTTATATCAAAGATACGGAGTTTAAATGTAAGTTTATATTTTACCATTTTACAAGTTGAGTCGTCTGGAGTTCTCCGCTCTCTCTCTCTCTCTTCATGGCAAGACATTCGAAGAGACGAAGGCTCTCGAAGCTATCCATTTTCGCTACCTTGTAGAGACGAAGCGAGTTGGTCTTTGGGTCTGTTGTATTTCAAAGGTTTGGTTTCTATAATTTCTGTCTGCTTATGCGAATTGATAGATTCCCGTTATTTCATCATTGAAAAATTATGGCGTTGTTTGTGTTGGTGGTTGTGGAGATCGTAAGTTCGTGTTGAAGCGCTCCTCTCCTCACTTACTTCATATTGTCCTGCAACGGATGGATTATTCTAGTTTTTGTGTTTGTACTTCAAAATCAATGGAAGTTGGTTTCTATGTGAATTTAGAGTCATTGGTTGATTGTTTAAGAATTTCTGCGTGACCTTAGGGATCTAACCTTTTGAAGATGCTTTTGGTTTTTTTGGGATTTTCTTATGGATGTTTATGAAGGGGAAATGAACAGGGGTGGGAATTCTCTCTGTAAAATTTTGGCTGGGAATCTAATTGTTCTAAGTAGGGAATTTCTTGGTACGGGGAATGCTTTAGGGCAAGGGGAGGGGACGAGGAAGCCATAGCTGTCATTTAATTTCTTATCCTCCTCGAAGACTATGTCTCCATCACGACTCATTTATGAAATGCAGTAGTGCATTTGAGGGTTTTATGCTCAGTTAAATTGAAACCAAACTAAACTCATGAATGGACTTAGCTTTGGTTTGGTTATATGCCTATTGCTTAGGATCACCATGGATTGACCTAGTGGTCAATAAGAGATCTTGTAAATGATAAAGAACTTTAAGGGAATAGGTGCAAATAGTAAAAGACGTAGAGGATAGGTTCAAGACATGGCGGCCAACGACCTAAGGGTTTAATATCCTATGAGTCACCTTGGTAACCAAATCTAAATGTAGTAGCGTTACGCAGGCATTGCGTGAGAATGGTTTAGGTGCACGCAAGTTGGTTTGGACACTCACAAATATTAGCAAAAAAAACAAATCAATGTTCAATTTTAATGGGACTTCAGTTTTTCAGTTCAACATAAATGAATCATACCAATAAACACCTTGCATTCTGGAAAATTTTATGGACCTCTGTTCTTTAAAGTGCATAAAATAGAGCCCACCAAATCCATAGATAAATGTTTTTATGCCGTTTTATCATTTTATTCCAATGTCATGTTCTTAATACATGCAGTCTTATGGGTTGCAACATGTAATCAGAAAATTCAATTATTCTCATTTTATTGGTGCTTTCATCTCAGAAATTCTTGTTTACGGTGTCTGGTGATCATCCACCTTCGTAGATGGAGATGCTTACTACAAATTCTGGTGCCATGCTTCCTCTTCTACCCCCAGGTACAAGCAACTAATTTCCAAATCGTTTTACTTATTTGATGCAAGTGGAAATGAATGGATTTTAATTATGATAAAAAAAGATGAGTACAAGAGAGAGAGAAAAAAAAAAAAAAAAAAATGGATAAGGGATACCCCCTACCTCAGAAAGGAACTTGTAAGAATCAACCCATATCTAATTTGATTCCAGAAGCTAGATAATTTAGAATTCCTATTATAGTACTCCAACATGAGGTGCTGTAGTGTGTACAATTCAAGAAATTGACCAATGTTCTAAAGATACATTGAAGGGTTCTGTTGTTCTTTTCAATCTAAAGTTGCATATAATGGTTTTGGAATGATTTCCTAGAAGAAATATACCTTTTTAAGCCTCCAGCCCTCAAAAACCTCTGAAATCAGATATCTCACATCCTTCAGGAAGCTCCGAGAATCCTAAATTTGACATGATTTAAATTCCAGCTTTTCGTGGCAGCTCAGTAGAGAAAGCGATGTTCTATATTGTGAAAAGTTCTTTTGTGGTTCCCTTCTTCCTAATCAAGTTGGCCATGTTGATCACTGAGGTTGGGGTTAGCGGATAAGATCTGACTTGCAATAGTATGTCCCCAGATTATCAAATTTCCAAATGCAAAGAGATGTTATATGCTCTCATACTAATATCTAGCTTGGGTTATTAAGTTTGGAAACTTAATTCTCGTTTAAATTATTGTTCTATTACCATTTGAGGAGAACAGAATTTTTTTTATTTTTATTCTATTACCATTAATATGACAACTTTTTGATATTTAGTAGTAATATTGTTATTGTAAAACAGTGGGTCAGCATTGGGGAAGAATGAAGGCCATAAACTTCCATCTTAGTAGGGATAGTTTCCAAGTTAAAACTTCTAATGGGAGGAGACAACCAGTGATTGCTAAAGCAGGACCACTTTATGTCAAACCAATTCTATCTACTGGGACAGGGGGAGGTGTTCTATATTCAAGTAGAAAGAACAATGCTTTCATATGTTTTGCTGCTTTGGTAAGTTGGTTCTTGTTCTATAGGTGTACTTTTTGTTAGATGAACACGACTTTCCACAATGGTATGATATTGTCCACTTTGAGCATAAGCTTTCATGGCTTTGCTTTGGACTTTCCCAAAATGCCTCATACCAATGGAGATAGTATTCTTTGATTATAAACTCATAGATCATTCCCTAAATTAGCCGATGTCCATCACTTTTTATGCTTGTTTGTTTTCTTTTGGTATTTAGTTGGTAATAACTTTTTTTTATTAGAAACATTATGTTAGTAGCATGAAATGTGTGTAGATGCCAAAGGAGATTATCAAAAGTTTTCCCAACTTGTTGAAATGAGTTGGGGCATTTCTCTGGGAAGGAATCATCAAATTTTAGTGGGGGTGAGAGATATACGGAAGAGTTGTGATAGGTTATTAGGTTTAGTATATTGGTGCGGGTCTCGATGCTGAGGTCTTTTAGGTATCGGTAGAGACTCGAACAGAATATCTGAAAGAGGGATGAAAATAAAAAAATTAAAAAAAATTAATGGTGCTGTTTCTCTGCAGAATGCTAGATGTGCGGCGGAGCAGACCCAAACTGTTACAAGAGAGGCTCCTACAATCACTGTTCTTCCTGGTAATGCAGATTTTATGAATAATAGTAACTGCTAACATCAATCTTCCTATCACTAAGTTGCATATGCACATATTTTTCCATTCAACTTGGACGCCAATCTTTTACACCTTGAAAATAACTTGCATCACTATGTTCTTAACATTTTGTTGTCTCCCTCGCTCGCTCGCACGCACGCACACATGATGTTGTCGTAGGCTGTCATAATTATGGCTGTTGCTTACCCTTATGTTTAAACCATACGTTGGATTACCTAAAACTAAAATTGCAGGCAAGGAGAAGTCACCGCAACTGGATGATGGTGATTCTGGGTTTCCACCTCGTGATGATGGTGATGGCGGCGGCGGTGGCGGTGGAGGGGGTGGCAACTGGTCTGGTGGATTCTTCTTCTTTGGCTTCCTTGCTTTCCTAGGCTTCTTAAAAGATAAAGAAAGCGAAGAGCCTTATCAGAATGACCGGAGAAGATGAAGAGCCTTATCAGAATGACAGGAGAAGATAAACATACTTCGATCAATTGGATTCATACTTGAATACAATCTGAAGGTGACTTCTCCTTGCCTGCAATTTTAGTTTTAGGTAATCCAACGTTTGCTTCTATAATCTCCATAAAATTAATTTCATTCAGAAGTTTGCTTTTAATTCAGTAATCCCTATGGACTGGAGTAAGAGCCTAACTCATGCTGATGCAAGATCCCAAGTATAAGGAACTATTGAGATTGATTCTTGTTCCAACGTGTTTGTCTCGGTCGCTGGTGAAGAAACCAACTCGAACTAAACTCAAATCATGGAAACGGAGAAGCAAACCAATTATTAATAGAGAGAGTTAAAAGTTCATGAATATTTTAAAATGTGGTATTTACAGTAATGTGTTTTACAACTCGAGGAACAACCCATGCGAAGAGAAAATTCAAGATTTTCCCCTCCAAGAAATGGCCTACATACATCAATTGTGCAAACCGTGATCAAATAGTAGACACTTCAACTGCAGATGATGAACACAACCTCAGGCAACATCGCTCGGGAAAGTCGTGGTGATGTCCCTGCTCAGCAAAATGCCCCAGATTATAACATAACACAGCTAGAGCAATGAAAATACCCCATAATCATTGCTAATATTGAGCGTAAATCCTCATCAGAAGACTAAAAATAGCACATTTAGATCTGATAGATTCACTTAAAGTTCATTCTTGAGCTTCCCTTTACGGCATTACACAAAAACAAGAACGAGAAACTGATTTTGAGATGTTTCACTGGAACAAACGGTTGACTTACGTGATTCATGTTCTTTAAGAGAGATGGATGTGGCATAACAAGGTTTCTCCACTTTTCCTTGTCAATCCTTCCCTCATGTTTTGTATCAGCTTCCTCAACAACTTCAGCACAGGGAACAAAGCTTTACCTCGTCTCTCTTTAACACCTTGCTGCTTAAAAACATGGCATTATAAGAACATAGTTAGAGACACAAAGGTTCCAATCATAGTATAAATGCAACTGCTCCATATGTTTTATACGTTTATCTCTTTCCCTTTACATAACGTACATTCAATTTTGCAAGGATCAATATATATTGTTATGAAGGAAAAAAAAAAGTTTTGCCAAAGCCACAAATCAAAGTATCCCTATCCAATGGCAGAAAGAGATGCACATACCTTGTTGATCAGACCATCATCAATCACGGCGCTGCTTCTCTTCTTGAAAAGCTCATATAGTGCTTCCATTTCACTTACACTGACTGCATATCATGGAAAACTAGCATCATTTAACAAAGTTCAGAGGTACACAATCCACAAAGAAAAGAAAAGAGAATTAAAAACATACACAGTCTCCCTGGATAGAAGATCAGGATCGTCAAGACCTCTTGATTGCTTATACAAGTCAAGATCACATCTTGGTAGGGAAGTAAAAAAAATCCTCTAATGAACTGCAGCATGATATCGCTTGAAAATCAAAATTCACTCCATGCCTGATAAATAGAAGATGTGTTTAAGAGTTCCTCCTCAGTGAGAAAACAATGCATGGAAAGAGAGAATAGACCTTCAAATAACAAAGGAAACCTATTCTGAGTGAGACAATATTTTGAGTAAATAAGATTTTAATAGAACCAATGATGATAAAGTAAAAGAGATCTTCTATGGGAAATAGAAAACAAAACAAAAAAAAAAAAGGGAATTAATATGAATTACTATGATGGCATGCTCTTTCAACCACATGAGCATAAAAAAAACGTTAATTTGAAAAAGAATAAGCCAACTCTACCTTCACAACCACTCTAAAGCTCCACAAGCGTTTGCGCAACCAGTAGCAGAGGCGAATTTGAAATACACAAATGGAAAACATAAACCAGAGTTTGAACCAAATGCAATGGCACCCACCTAGAAAAAACAGAATCATAACAGGGCACCACCATAGAATGAAAACATGAAAATCAACGAGGGGACAAACAAAGATGGCGCTATGGTCATCGGAGAAGAAATATGAAGGTGACGCATAGTGAGAGAGAGAGAGAGAGAGAGGCTGAGAGACTGCAAGACGTTCATTTAATAAGACGTATCTAACAATCGACGTCGTTAATGGATTCTCATATTTAAGGAAACGCACACTTGATGCATTTCGAGTGAAACATGATACCCAACCCAATGTAATCAGAAACAAAACAAATCTTCTAATATATAAGATTGGAAACAGAACATACTCATTCGAATACCCTTCCCCTTCGGTGATCCATCCTCTACTAATACAAACACTTCAAAATCAATCAACTTCCTCCATCTTGCTACCCTCTGCGTCAGCATCAGCGTCCTCAAGAGGCGGCATCTCCGCATCACCTTCTGCACCGTCCTCCTCATCAATGCTCAGTCCCAGCTTCAACATCCTGTGGATCCTGTTCCCGAAGGTGTTGGGTTCATCCAGGCTGAACCCTGATGTCAGAAGTGCAGTCTCGAAAAGGAGCAGCACAAGGTCCTTCACCGATTTGTCATTCTTGTCTGCATCCGCCCTCTTCCTTAGCTCTTCCATGATCGGGTTCTCCGGGTTGATTTCCATGGTCTTCTTGCTCGACATGTACCCAGCCATGCTGTTGTCCTTCAATGCCTGAGCCTTCATGATTCTTTCCATGTTGGCTGTCCATCCGTATTCACCCGTCACCAAACAGCAGGGAGAATCAACAACACGGTCGGAAACCACAACCTTCTCCACCTTGTCCCCTAAAACATCCTTGATCACCTTGCAAAGACCCTCGAACTTCTCCTTCAAAGCTTCCTTTTTCTTCTTTTCATCTTCACTCTCATCCAGTTTCAGACCTTCCTTTGTTGCTGATACAAGTTTCTTGCCTTCGTATTCCTTCAGTTGACCAACTGCATACTCATCAATTGCATCAACCATGAACAGAACTTCATACCCTTTCTTCTTGAGCTTCTCAAGGAAAGGAGAGTTCTCTACAGCTTTCTTGCTTTCACCAGTGATGTAAAAGATGTCGCTCTGTCCTTCCTTCATTCTCGTCACGTAGTCCTTGAGGCTGGTCAACTCATCACCGCTTTTGGTGGAGTGGAAACGGAGAAGTTCAGCGATCTTAGGTCTGTTCTGAGAGTCCTCGTGGATTCCAAGCTTCAAGTTCTTGGAGAAGGCCTCGTAGAACTTGTTGTAGTCTTCCTTGTTCTCAGCAATCTCGAAGAAGAGCTCGAGGCACTTCTTCACCAAGTTCTTGCGGATGACCTTCAAGATCTTGTTCTGCTGCAACATTTCTCTGGAAATGTTGAGGGGAAGATCTTCAGAATCAACAATGCCCTTAACGAACCCAAGATATTCAGGAATTAACTCCTCACAGTTGTCCATGATAAAGACACGTCTAACGTACAACTTGATGTTGTTTGGCTTCTTCTTTGTGTCAAAGAGATCAAAAGGAGCCCTCTTGGGAACGAAGAGGACAGCCTTGAATTCCAATTGACCTTCGACAGAGAAGTGCTTCACAGCAAGGTGCTCTTCCCAGTCGTTGGTAAGGCTCTTGTAGAAAGCAGCATACTCTTCCTTGGTAATCTCTTCTGGCTTCCTCATCCAGATAGGCTTCTGTTTGTTCACCAAGGACCACTCGTTTGAAACTTCCTTGATCTTCTTCTTCTTCTTCTCTTCCTTCTCCTCGTCAACTTCCTCAACCTTGCCTTCCTCATCCTTCTTTTCCTCATCATCCTCATCATCAGAGATCTCCTTCTCAATGGTCTTCTCAACCCAGAGAGAAATTGGGTAGCTGATAAACTCGGAGTGCTTCTTGATCAAGTCCTTGAGACGGCGTTCCTCAAGATACTCAAGTTGATCTTCCTTGAGGTACAGAGTAATTTTCGTACCTCGGCCAAGATTCTCACCAGAGGTGTCCCTGGTGACTGTGAATGAACCCCCAGCCTGGGACTCCCATACGTACTGCTCATCATCATTGTGCTTGGTGGTAACAATAACCTTTTCAGCTACAAGGTAGGCCGAGTAGAAACCAACTCCAAACTGTCCAATCATGCTCACATCCGCACCAGCTGCAAGGGCTTCCATGAATTCCTTGGTCCCAGATCTTGCAATGGTTCCAAGATTGTTCACCAAATCTGATAAAATCAACATGTTAAAGAATTGAGTTGTACGAATGATGTTAGACTAATGGACAATCATAAACAAAATAGCAGTAGCAGCAATCACTCACCAGCCTTGGTCATTCCAATACCACTGTCAATAATCGTCAAGGAATTGTTTACCTTGTCAGGAATGATGTGGATAAAGAGTTCAGGCTGGGCATCAAGCTTGCTCTTGTCGGTCAAGCTCTCAAACCTGATTTTATCTAGAGCCTGGAATAATGTTCCACATTATAAGTTAAGAACATCAAATTCATGGAAACTCATATATCCTCATCATCCCAGAATGTACACATTCATAATCAGAACTCCACAAAAGTTAAATCCATACAACCACCTAGAAAGATCTAAAATGTGAATTCACTAGACAGTGAGAAAGATCCTTGCAATAGTAACATCATGATGCAGATTAAATCTAGAAAATCAAGAAACAACCAATTCAAGAACGAACAACAATATGAAATCACATTTCTCATAATTCCATCACTACATCTACAAAACTAAAGTCAGAAACGACCAATCCGAATCGAAACCTAGCAAGTTCGCGACAGGAGGAAAATTAAAAGAAAAAGAGCGTTGAATCACACTTCAAAATCGATGCGAAATGCACAAACGCAAGAAGACAGTCATAGTGAAAACGCAAAGAATAAGAAATGACAAAGTACACTTACATCTGAGGCGTTGCTAATAAGTTCCCGAAGGAAGATCTCCTTGTTGCTGTAAAACGTGTTGATAATCAGACTGAGGAGCTGATTAATCTCAGCCTGGAAGGCGAACGTTTCAGTATCCGCCATTGATAAAAACGAAGATCAGAATGGATCCAAGAACAACGGGGAGAAAAATGCAAGAAATGGAGGCTTGAGCAAGCAATTAACGTCTTGCTGATTGTGGAGGAGCGGCAAGCTTATATAGAAGGGGATTTCCATTCTACTAGGGTTTCTGGAACCTTCTATCAGTTTGAAATTATGGCAATTATTACATTTCTTTTTTTCTTTTTCTTTTTTCTAGTATAAAGTATTATTCCTTACAGCTTACGTGGCTCTTACGAAAAATCGAGAAAATGGGAGTTGGGAGAATCCAATCCAGGATTGGAGCAAGATAATCCGAATCCCAGCCCACGGAAAGTCCGCAACCAAACAACCCCCTTAAGAATTGGTTAGGGATAGTTGATATCCACAATTCACACACTAGCTAAAAATTATTAAATATTACCACACAAATTAAATTTTTTACCCAATTGAATTATTACAACTATATTGAATTATTTGTATATTTTGAAATGATTTTTAAATTAATAAAATTATTTTTTACGAGCATAAAATCACTTTAAATACTTTAATAAATAAGGAAAATTAATTTTTATATTTAAAATTATAACAACTAAATTCTAATATTTTTATCCGTTCACAAAAAGTTTGCTGTTTTAAGCATCCATCTTAGGGTCGGTATGAATAATTGTATACCTACACTGGCCTATGCAAAATTTGCAATTTTTTTAGAGTCTAGAGAAAAGTCTATGATACAATTTGAGTGTCACGGACTGATTGTGAAATTGAGCAGTCATAGTGAGAATTCTCCATGATTTCTTGGTCTTTTTTTTTTAAGGTTTATATTTGTATTCGGTCTTTAGTCCTAAATGTTTGTGCAACATTTATTTTATTTACTTTCGTCCTTTTTGAAGTGTTCATTCCTTTAATTTACAAGATTAATATTTCTTAGCCCGGTACAAACTCATTGCATAGGATACCTCCCCTTACATGTTTCGCATGAACTATTTTGATAAAATTATTTGTAACGATTATAAAGTGAGCGTATCAATAGTGTTACGAATATAAACTTATTCATATACTATAGACCCTTTAGGTTATTACTTGAACACAATCATCTTATATGTCAACCACATACGGTTCAAGATTACATTAATAATCTTAGATTTTCATACCATGGATAACAATTAAATTATTATTAGAAACTAAATAATTAATTACGAGGCTTAGGGCATAAATCCCAACACTTTTTCCGCCACATTTTAATATTTGAGGCCACGAAAATCAAGTTGAGACAAATTAGTATTAAAGCAGTAAGGGTTTAGGTCTAGGTAGAGAGTCGTACACCTCTATAACCCAACTCGACGACACACCCCATCACGAACAGGTACATACTATGAAGAAATTAGTATATGAAACAAGTATGTAGCATCCCATGTGATACATAGAGTCAACGTTAACCCTACAATTAACAAGTAGTGACTAAGTAAAGGAACAACTTCCCCTTGATCTCCTAATAATTAGATGGATGAGCTTAATTTATGATCAAAGATTTAAGGCAACCATTCATTTTTCTCTTACCTCCCTACATATAAACAAAGGTGATGGGAATCACAAAAGTACAATAGGACTTCAAAACAAAAGCAATGGAGTTTTCTTATATTATTTCTCCATTGCTTTTGTTCTTCTTTTTGCTTCAAACATCATCTGTTCATACCAAAAAGGCAAGCATTCACCTCTCTCTCCTTTATTTTCAAATGGGTTTCCTTTTTCTTTTCATTTTTACTCATACTTCTTCTTTCGTGGTGTAGTCTTACATTGTTTACTTGGGATCGGAATCGAACCCGAGTATATATGATGTTCAACTTGCGACCGAATCTAAATATGATATATTAGGAACTGTCAAGGGAAGGTAAAAAATGTGTTCACTTCAAAAGGTTCTATGATTTGCTTAACAAACTTATGATTAATGATTGTTTTTTATGTTTCTTTTATGATGTATAGCAAAGTGGCAGCTAAAGAATCGATTCTCTATACGTATAATAGATGTATTAATGGCTTTGCTGCTGTTCTTGATGATAAAGAAGTTACGGCTCTTGCAAGTAAGAGTTGTTTGTTTCTATATGACGATGTTTTTAATGTTTTGTTTTTAAAATGTTTTTTTTTTTTTTTTGTGTTTGCGAAATGTAACAGAGAACCCGAGCGTGGTGTCGATTTTTGAAAATAGGGAAAGAAAATTGCATACAACACGATCATGGAGTTTTCTGGGGGTTGGTAGTGATCGAGGAATTCCTTGGAACTCCATTTGGAAGGCTTCTAAGTTTGGGGAAGATGTAATTATCGGGAACCTCGACACGGGTTGCTCTCTTCTTCCTTTTTTTTTTTCTTTTGTTTTTTGTGCTTACGATGGTTCGTACATGTAATAACTATAGCTGATATTGTCTAGTTTGATATGTTATGTATAACAGGCGTCAGCCTCACGACTTTAAAATGTCAGGAGGTGTGTATTGCCATCAGCCTCACGACTTTAAAATGCCTTATAGGGAAACGATGGCAGATCTTGAGGTGGATGGTTCTATATAACAGCTCAAGCCCACTGCTAGCGGATCTTTAGCAGTGGGCTTAGACTCTTACAAATAGTATTTGAGCTAGTCATCAAATATATGTTGTGAGGCACTGGTTGGAGTAGGGCTAGACCCTTCTTATAGTAGACACAATTTTAAAACCGTGGGACTGAAACAATTTGTAACGGACCAAACCAATATTAGCGGTGGGTTTGGACTATTACAAATGGTATCAGAGCCAGTCACCAATCATGCAAAGCACTAGTGGGAGTAGGCTAGACCCTTGTAAACATATTTTAAAACCGTGAGATTGATAATACGTAACGGGCCATCGGACAGTGCAAGGCACTAGTGGGAGTAGGGCTAGACCCTCGTAAACATACTTTAAAATCGTGAGGCTGACAATATGTAACGGGCCATCAGACAGTTCACCATAGTAATCATGTTTTTAAACTGTGGGACTGACGACAATACATAATGGGTCAAAGTAGACAATATCTAGGTTTGGGGTGGTATGCCAGCAAAGACACTAACCCCCCAAGGGGGTAGATTATGAGGTCTTACATCCCTTGGATAAGGGAACGAAACATTCCTTATCGAAACCTTTCCTTCACATTTTAAAACGTTAAGAGAAAGTCTTGTCTAAAAAAGACAATATTAATTAGCGGAGAGCTTGACTATTATTATAATATATGTGATGAGTTTGCATGGGGTTTATATGAAGGCGTTTGGCCAGAGTCCCACAGCTTCCACGATTCTGGCTATGGCCCGGTTCCTTCAAGGTGGATGGGAGCTTGTGAAGGCGGTTCTAACTTTAGTTGCAACAGGTTCTTCCCCGACTTTAGCATTAAAATCAAATTTACTAACACCCCATTTAACAATTCATACGTTATTACTTTATTTCTAGGAAGTTGATCGGAGCAAGATATTTCTACCGAGGATATGAAATGATCAATGGTCCTCTCAACATTAGCTCACTAAACGCACGAGACCATGAAGGCCATGGTACACACACATTGTCCACTGCCGGTGGTAACTTTGTACGAGGAGCCAACGTGTTTGGCAATGGCAATGGGACAGCAAAAGGAGGCGCCCCCAAAGCTCGTGTTGCTGCCTACAAGGTATGCTGGCCTCAAGGCAAGTGTTCTGATGCCGATCTCTTAGCTGGTATCGAAGCCGCTATCAGCGACGGTGTCGACGTTCTCTCGATCTCTCTCGGTGCAGCAGCTCAGGACTTTGCTGATGACCCAATTTCAGTAGGGGCATTCCATGCCATTCAACAAGGAATCATTGTAGTTTGCTCTGCCGGAAATGATGGCCCGCTCCCTGGGACTGTCACCAATGTATCTCCATGGATGTTCACTGTTGGAGCTAGTTCCATCGACCGAGGCTTCTTCAGTTACGTGTATCTCGGAAACAAGAAGCAGGTAAAGGGTTCGAGTCTTTCATCCGGAGGATTGCCACGTGGTAAATTGTACCCTTTGATGAATTCTGTGAATGCAAAAGCTTCCAATGCCTCAGATGGACTTGCGTAAGTCGTGACGAAACAAATGTCTAAATATTTGCCTATAATAAAAAATCAAACACTAAATAAGATTCTACAGCCAACTTTGCGAGGAGGGATCACTTGATCCCATGAAGGCAAGAGGGAAGATTATAGTATGTCTTCGAGGAGACAACGGAAGAATGGACAAGAGTTTCGAGGTTCTTCGTGTCGGTGGTGTCGGTATGATTCTGGTTAACGACAAGATCAGTGGTTCGGACATTGAAACTGATGCACACATGCTTCCTACTTCACATGTAAGCTATATTGATGGCCTCTCCATCGCTGAATATTTGAAATCCACCAAGTAAGGACTCTCATCTATTCTAAGCATTGTCTATGAGAAAATGAGAAGGGAATGGGCTGAATATGTAGTTTTTGTATTGTAAATTAAACCAGAAGGCCTGTGGCTTCCATAACTCCGGTAAGGACAGAGATAGGGATTAAACCATCGCCTGTCATGGCTCCATTCTCGTCAAGAGGCCCTAATCACATAGCAGAGGCCATGATCAAGGTTGGTTTTTAGTAGCATGATCAAGGTTTGAGTATTTGAAAAGTTCTCTCAAATGTTCGTGTATATGTTTGTGTAGCCTGATATATCAGCACCGGGTGTGAATATAATCGCATCTTTCACGAAAGCGGTAGCAGCAACAGACTTGCCATTTGACAAACGTCGAGTGCCTTTCAACGTTCAATCCGGCACATCCATGTCATGCCCGCACATCGCAGGCGTTGCAGGCCTTCTTAAGAAACTTCATCCTACATGGAGTCCTGCAGCTATCAAATCTGCTATTATGACTACAGGTTTATTAATCTCGAGAAAAACAAAACTTGATTTATATTTTATTTGGTCCGGTAAGGTTTTGATTTTGTTATGCAGCCAAAACGAGAGACAACACCAAGAACACAATGTTGGACTTCAACAAAGTGAAGGCTACCCCATTTGATTATGGAGCAGGACATGTCCATCCAAACGATGCCATGGACCCCGGCCTCGTTTACGACACGACGATTGATGACTACTTGAACTTCTTATGTATGCAGGGCTATAACTCACTCACGCTCAAGAAATTCTCTAATAAGCCATTTGTTTGTGCCAAGAACTTCGCAAGCACCGACCTCAACTATCCATCCATCTCGGTCCCCAAGTTGCAAATTGGTGTACCGGTGACGGTGAATAGAAGAGTTAAGAATGTGGGAAGCGCAGGCACGTATGTGGCGCGGGTGAGGATGCCCAAGGGCATTACAGTTATGGTGGAGCCAAGTACGTTGCAATTTCACAGCGTAGGAGAAGAGAAGGCTTTCAAACTTGTATTTCATTACGCACAGAAAGTGCGGCGTCCTGGCTATGTTTTTGGGGCATTGGTATGGTCAGATGGGAAGCATTTTGTTAGAAGTCCTATTGCAGTGAATTTGGTATGATTCAATTTATAATATTGTAATCCAAATTCATTCTATTATCATATATACAAATTTTCCATACAATTATATGGAAAGGATTTGCAAAGTCTAAAATCTTTTCCGCATTTCTAGTCGTTCAACTCGATTTCAATTTTCGAGGTTAAGCGTGTTGGATGATGAAAGTCCCACATCGGTTAATTTAGGAAATGGTCATGGGTTTATAATCTAAGAATACACTCTCCATTGGTATGAGGCCTTTTGGAAAGCCCAAAGCAAAGCCATGAGAGCTTATGCTCAAAGTAGACAATATCATACCATTGTGGAGAGTCGTGTTCGTCTAACATGGTATCAGAGCCATGCCCTAAACTTAGCCGTGTCAATAGATTGGCAAATCCTTAAATGTCGAACAAAGGATTCCAAAAGGAGTCAAGCCTCCTCGAAGGTACGAAGGCAGTCAAAAATGACTAAGACTCCAAAGGAGTTGAGCCTCAATTAAGGGGAGGCGTGCTTTGTTCGAGGGGAGGTGTTGGATGATGAAAGTCCCACATCGGTTAATTTAGGAAATGGTCATGGGTTTATAATCTAAGAATACACTCTCCATTGGTATGAGGCCTTTTGGGAAGCCCAAAGCAAAGCCATGAGAGCTTATGCTCAAAGTGGACAATATCATACCATTGTGGAGAGTCGTGTTCGTCTAACATGGTATCAGAGCCATGCCNTAAACTTAGCCGTGTCAATAGATTGGCAAATCCTTAAATGTCGAACAAAGGACTCCAAAAGGAGTCAAGCCTCCTCGAAGGTACGAAGGCAGTCAAAAATGACTAAGACTCCAAAGGAGTCGAGCCTCGATTAAGGGGAGGCGTGCTTTGTTCGAGGGGAGGTGTTGGATGATGAAAGTCCCACATCGGTTAATTTAGGAAATGGTCATGGGTTTATAATCTAAGAATACACTCTCCATTGGTATGAGGCCTTTTGGAAAGCCCAAAGCAAAGCCATGAGAGCTTATGCTCAAAGTAGACAATATCATACCATTGTGGAGAGTCGTGTTCGTCTAACATGGTATCAGAGCCATGCCCTAAACTTAGCCGTGTCAATAGATTGGCAAATCCTTAAATGTCGAACAAAGGATTCCAAAAGGAGTCAAGCCTCCTCGAAGGTACGAAGGCAGTCAAAAATGACTAAGACTCCAAAGGAGTTGAGCCTCAATTAAGGGGAGGCGTGCTTTGTTCGAGGGGAGGTGTTGGATGATGAAAGTTCAAGCCTCCTCGAAGGTACGAAGGCAGTCAAAAATGACTAAGACTCCAAAGGAGTTGAGCCTCAATTAAGGGGAGGCGTGCTTTGTTCGAGGGGAGGTGTTGGATGATGAAAGTCCCACATCGGTTAATTTAGGAAATGGTCATGGGTTTATAATCTAAGAATACACTCTCCATCTAAGAATACACTCTCCATTGGTATGAGACTTTTTGGAAAGCCCAAAGCAAAGCCATGAGAGCATGCTTTTTGGAAAGCCCAAAGCAAAGCCATGAGAGCTTATGCTCAAAGTGGGCTCAAAGTGGACAATATCATACCATTGTGGAGAGTCGTGTTCGTCTAACAAAGCGTACTCGCAACTTTACCTCAGGCAAAAAGTTGACAGTAAGGGCTAACTGTACATGAGATTTTCACCTCATATAGCTCCTCGTTTAATTCTTTCGAGTCATTGGATCATTTTCCTCGTTCGAGAATCTCCTCCCCTCTTTCATTCCATCCCAAAGAGTGACCGGGACCAATTCAGTCACGTTTTCATTCATTTGCTACTTCATTTTTATTTACTTATTTTTCCCTCTATTTTTTTTCTTATTTTATTCCCTTTGATCATTCCTTAAGTCCCATCTGACCCATAATCATCCTATATATCACAAGTACTCGAGATGCGACCCCATCAAGGTTAAAATTCATAATCTCATTATCTACATGGACACTATAAGTTTAGACAGATTCTCTACTATTACATTACCATTGAGGAGAGGTGGTCCTCGTGCCTACCAACTACTATTTACCCAAATGGTCTCTTGCCCCTCATTCAAACAAGTTCATGACTAAAAAATAGTTGGAGATCCCTATCACTCCCGTAAATGGTAATCTTATGGCACTATTATAAAGTTCATACATCTCAAGGCTTGACCTGTTAGAATAGTACCTTCGTTCTAAGGGAAGAAAAAAAGAGAAGAGACAAAAAGACAAATATACTTGGTAACTCTTGAAAAACTCCACCTGCCGGGGGTTTATATATTCATCTGAAAAGGCGGGAGAATTCCGACGAGGCGCCAGAATTCTCGCACCCTCATCCCACATGCTCTCCCACAACATACAGAGAATGAGATATAGAGTCTCATACCAATGGAGAATAAAGTCTCCCCTAAATTAGACAATGTAATTCAAATAACTAAATCAAATCGAAAAGCAGAATAGAGTCTCCCCATAGTTTGAGAAGTCTAGGAAAGTTAAGTAGACGAAGAGCATTACAACCTAGTCAGGTAAGGATAATCAGTAATCATCAATCATGGGAAGATTTATCCTACTTTGGATATTGTTCTTAATGTCTAATTAATAGAATGTAGTTACTAAAGTCAAGTGTGGAGTCTCTTGCTTGACAATAGATGAAAGAAGATGTTGGTTGTTATTATTACTTAGTTGACTCGAAACAATTGTCGAATCAAAAAGAATTGTTCGAGATGAAACAATCGTTCAATCTTGTTGGAGTTAAATAACAATTGTTCGAGATGAAAGAGATCCAATCTCTTCCACAAACCCTTCATTGTAAGCCTCTTCATTATGAAGGATGATGCCATGTACTGGTAAGAAGAAAGTTACCCATTTCAGAGTTGATCTTAAACCAGTTGAGTAGCGAGTTTACTGTCCATGAGCTTACCTTCCAAAAGCCTTAGAGAGAATACAGGTTACTGAGCATGCTAGTGTTTGCTCAAGCTTGAGTCACTTGAGGATTTCATCAACATGGCTAAGTTAAGGGTACGACTCATTCTAATACCACGTTAGAAATCACAACTCTCCACCATGATATGATATTGTCTACTTTGAAAATAAGCTTTCAAGCTGTGAGATCCCACATCGGTTGGGGAGGAGAACGAAACTCCCTTTATAAGGGTGTGGAAACCTTTTCCTAGCAGAGCGTTTTAAAGCCTTGAGGGAAAGTCCGAAATGGAAAGTCCAAAAAGGACAATATCTACTAGCAGTGGGTTTGAGCGGTTACACGTTAGGAATCACGTTAGGAATCACGACTCTCTACAATGGTATGATATTGTCTACTCTGAGCATAAGCTCTCATGACTTTGTTTTGAGCTTCCCAAAATGCCTCATACCAATGGAAATGTATTACTTTGCTTATAAACCCATGATCATTCCCTAAATTAGCCGATGTGAGACTCACTCCAACTTTATTTCTGCCCTCAGGTAACTCCATCAATTCCAATGTGTCATTTCTGTTTATTGCTTTTATTTCCAAATCCATGGTTTGCCCCCATTTCTCGCTCTTCAAAATTTAGAGGATCATAGTGATAAACATGGCCAAATGAGTTTCATTATCTTCTTCAGAAAGATCTTTTCTTGTTGCATTGTCTCTCTTCCAGACTGGTGGTCTTCTGTTCCTCCCGTTATTCGAGCTAGGAGAGCCTTGCTTCAGCCAAAGAGGCAGTAGAAAGTTCACTCCCTTCTTCATTTTCATCAAACACATCTGCTGCCTCATCTTGATCGCCCCATTTCAGATCGCACATAATGGATTTTTTATAGGTCTTATCCCAATCCCAACTCTTATCTTCCTCGAATACAACATTCCTACTTATAAGGATCCTTTGTGAAGTTGGATCATAGAGTCTGTAAGCCTTTGACTCTTTACTAACTCCCAGCAAAACACAACTCAAACTCTTATCGTCCAGTTTAATTCTTTTACTGTCAGGCACATGAACATGAGAGATGCATTCCAAAAACTCTCAAATGCTCCACCCAAAGTTTGACTCCACTCTTGTGGAGTTTTATTTTTGACAACAAATGCTGATAGAAATTAGTATATTCACCATCCTGTATGAGGATATAAGCATCTCTGCCAACATCCTATCAAGAAAATCTTCAGCTTGTAAGCCGAATCGACAGCCAGATCTCTGGCTCACTGGAATTATCTCCACAGTGGTGGTCTATCTGCAAACAGAGTGCAGAAACACACATACACACCTCCTGATTAATTGCAAATCTGCAAAGGCTTTCTGGAACCATTTATTCTTTCCTCGCATATTATAAGAGGTCATCCTTTCAAAAAAGAAAATAAGTAGGTAACAAGTTTAAGCCCACCGCTAGTAGATATTGTCATTTTTTTTTTTTTTACTTTCCTTTCCTAGCTTCCCTCAAGTTTTTAAAATGGGAAATGATTTCCGATCTTCATTTGATATTTATCACTTGCGAACCACTAAGCCTGTGTGAATGTATCAGCACTGTTTATACATTGCTTCTCGGTTGCTAATGAAAATATTTTTTTGGTCACATTCCCTTTTTTCTAGGAGGAGTCTGTACATTTGATGATGATTTATTACGAGAAGGTTTAATCGAGTATCTTGATGTGAACGAGGAGAATAATGGTCTGATATGTTTCCAACTGAATTATCTGATGTTCTTTGATACGTTAGGTTGTTCGATCAACAAAAACAAACCAAGTGCATCATTTCTTATTCATAGTGTGTTATGGTGAAGCAAGACATGGGAAACATTGCATGCAATCAATCAACTGTTTTAATTATTGATTTTATTTTGTCTCGTTCAAATCTGATTCTTGTACTTATTTGACATTTACAAGAGGAGTAAAAATAATCATGGATCCTTGGAACTGGTTGTTGTGTAGGTAAAAATCATTGAATGCTGGTAGGATGATAGTAGGGCCGAACAAAAACGAAGATTATTTAGGAAATATGCAGGTAAAAAAAATACACACATTAATAGCTTATTTTATTGGAATTATATGAATTATTGTGTATGCTTGGGTGTGTTAAACGAACACGACTCTCCACAATGGTATGATATTGTGCACTTTGAGCATAAGCTCTCATGGTTTTGCTTTGGGCTTGCCAAAAGGCCTCATACTAATGAAGAGTGTATTCTTATATTATAAACTCATGACCATTCTCTAAATTAACTGACGGGACTTTCATCATCCAACAGGGTGAACAGTTGTTTTTCCATTCAACTATTTATGGTCATTGATTGTTCAATGAATATGATAGGTAAAAGTAACCACACCTTTCTCTCTTTTCTAACCAAGCCTTTTGAGTTAAAAAGGGTATTAATATAACTTCTTTTCCTCTCTTTTCCGTTTCCAATAATTAGATGGAGGAGCTTAATTTGGGGGAGGGGAGATTAAAGGGAACCAGTGATTTATGATCGAGTTTGGGGATATAAAGAACCCAATTGGGAATGGGAAAAGCACAATAGAACTTCAAAGCAAAAGCAATGGAGGAATATAATAAGATTTCTCCATTGCTTTTGTTTTTCTTTATGCTCCACACAGCGGCTGTTCCTACCAAGAACTCCTACATTGTCTATTTGGGATCACACTCCTTCGCCCCAAATCCAAGTGTATACGACGTCCAACTTGCAACCGAGTCTCAGTATGATATATTAGGATCCGTCAAGGGAAGGTACTTCGTTCTCTTCACATGTTATTTCTTCATATCCATCGCTTAACAACTCTCCTTTTGGTGCATAGCAAAGTGGCAGCCAAGGACTCTATTCTCTACTCCTACAATCGATACATTAATGGCTTTGCTGCCGTTCTTGATGAACAAGAAGCCACGGCTCTTGCGAGTAAGCGTTGTTGCTTTCCCACTTTTGTTGCTGCATTTGGGTGCTCTTAACGTCTTACTTTACGGATGATGTTGTCTACAAATAGAGAATCCAAGCGTGGTGTCCGTTTTTGAGAACAAGGAAAGAAAACTGCATACAACACGGTCATGGGGTTTTCTGGGGGTCGATAGTGATCGAGGAATCCCTCAGAACTCCATTTGGAAGGCGGCTCGGTTTGGGGCAGATACCATCATAGGAAACCTCGACACGGGTTTGCGAATCTTCCCTTCTTTTATTCTATTTTTCTTATTTGCTGGCGGCCGACTTGAACTATTACAATGTATTTGCGAAGGTGTCTGGCCGGAGTCCCCCAGCTTCAATGATGCAGGGTATGGCCCTGTTCCTTCAAGGTGGAGGGGAGCTTGCGAAGGCGGCTCCAAATTTCGATGCAACAGGAAGTTGATTGGAGCACGCTATTTCTACCGAGGATTTCAAGCCGCCGAAGGTCCATTGACAACGCACAACATCAGCTTCGACAGTGCACGAGACCATGAAGGCCATGGATCGCACACTTTGTCCACTGCGGGCGGCAACTTTGTCCATGGAGTCAATGTGTTTGGCAATGGAAATGGGACTGCGAAAGGAGGTTCCCCCAGGGCTCGTGTTGTTGCCTACAAGGTCTGCTGGCCTTCAAAAAATGGCGGCTGTTACGATTCCGATATCTTAGCAGGCATCGAGGCCGCCATCAGCGACGGTGTGGATGTTCTTTCGGCCTCTATTGGCACGCTAGCTCAAGAGTTTGCTAATGACGCTATTTCGATAGGGGCGTTCCATGCGGTTCAGCACGGAATCGTCGTGGTTTGCTCGGCCGGGAATGACGGCCCGTCTCCCGGGAGTGTGAGCAATGTGTCTCCTTGGATGGTCACTGTTGGAGCAAGTACCATCGACCGTGACTTTGTCAGTTATGTGGTCCTGGGGAACAAGAAGCGATTTAGGGTACTCATCACACACAACCCTTAGATAAATGGTTTAGTCTATAATGCATTAAACTTATTATGTTTGTGGTTGATGAGCTGATCAAAATAACCTCTACGTTTACTCCAAAGGGTTCAAGCCTTTCATCCAGTCGATTGCCCGCTGGTAAGTTCTACCCTTTGATAAAGGCTGTGCAAGTGAAAGCTGCCAATGCCACTGATGGGTTTGCGTGAGTATACACATACATATATTACCTCTCCACTTCAAAGGGCACTTTGGTTTGAACTTCACTCTGTTTCTACAGCCAACTTTGCATGGATGGAACACTCGATCCCACAAAGGCAAAAGGCAAGATTATAGTTTGCCTTCGAGGAGAAAATGCAAGAGTGAGCAAGGGGTTCGAGGTTTTTCGTGTCGGTGGTGTCGGGATGGTTCTGGTAAATAACCAGATGGACGGTTCAGCTCTTGTAGCTGATCCACACATACTTCCTGCTTCTCATCTAAGCTATGCGGATGGAGTTTCCATCGCTCAATATTTGAGCTCCACCAAGTAAGGACTCTCATCTATTCTATGACAAAATGAAAAGGAAATGGGCTAAATATTTAGTTTTTGTATTGCAAATGGAACCAGAACACCCGTGGCTTCCATAACCCATGCAAGCACAGAGATGGGAATTAAACCATCGCCTCTCATGGCTTCATTTTCCTCAAGAGGCCCTGATTTCATCACACAGGCTGTAATCAAGGTTGGTTTTATAGTAAGCCAATGCAACTTTCAACCTTTGTAAACCTATCTCAAATCTTTATATCTTGGTGTAGCCTGATATAACAGCACCGGGTGTAAATATAATCGCATCTGTCACCGACGATATATCAGCATCAGGCTTGCCACTTGATAAACGTCGAGTGCCTTTTAACATCGAGTCTGGCACTTCCATGTCATGCCCACACATCTCTGGTGTTGCAGGCCTTCTAAAGACTCTGCATCCCACGTGGAGTCCTGCAGCTATCAAATCCGCCGTCATGACTACAGGTTTATTGAACTGGAGAAACAAAACTCGATTTAAATATTTAAATTTCATTTCGTCCTCTAAAGCTTTGATTTTGTTTTGCAGCCAAAACTAGAGACAACACCAAGAACACATTATTGGACTACACCAAAGTGAAGGCTACCCCATTTGATTATGGTGCAGGACACGTCCATCCAAACGATGCCATGGACCCCGGCCTCGTTTACGACACAACGGTTGATGACTATTTGAACTTCTTATGTACACGGGGCTACAACTCCCGCACACTCAAGAAATTCTCTAACAAGCCGTTTGTTTGCGCCAACAACTTTGCAACCACAGACTTCAACTATCCATCCATCTTGGTCCCCAGGTTGCAAATTGGTGGATCGGTGACGGTCAATAGAAGAGTCAAGAATGTGGGAAGCACAGGCACGTATGTGGCGCGGGTGAGGATGCCCAAGGGTATTACAGTTATGGTTGAGCCAAGTAAGTTACAATTTCACAGCGTTGGAGAAGAGAGGCCTTTCAAACTTATATTTCATTATGCACATAAACTGCGACGTCAAGGC